CGACACCACTCTCTCCTCAGCCCCTTTATTGATGGATTTCGCATACCTTACCCCTCCGTCCTTGTTGCCTACGCCGCCTCACCTCTTCGTGTCGCCACCGCGTCATAGTCGCACAGTATCCGGAACCAGCATGGACTACGGCCACCTGATGTTTGACGAGCCGGAAGCCGCCGCCGACGCGGAGCTTCCGGCCCCCGATTTTGACTTTTACGGCTTCATGCAGGCGCCAGGCGATGTTATGGGCAATATCCCTCAACAGCAACAGCAGCAGCAGCAGCAACAACAGCAACAAAGGGACCAGCAACTACGACGTCAACATATCGTTCCGTCACCAGGCACCGTGGGCGACGGTGGTCTGCGCAGCCACAGCCATGGCGGCTTTGACGTCGTCGACCAAGACATGCACTTCTCCACCCCCCACGCGTTCCACCTGGGCTCGTCAGCATCATCGACAACGGCAGCCGCATCGACCGGCTCCACAATGTTGCCGCGCGGCAGCGCGAGTACGGCTTCCACCACACCGGGCCGCCTCTCGCCCATGCCGCTGGTGCCGGGAACCACGTCGCCCGACGCAAGGAACTTGTCCATCTCGGCACCGTCGGTGACCGGCAAGACATTGGTCCTCGCCAGCAACAACCACTCCCACGCCCACCACCGCCATCAGCCGCAGCAGCAGCAGCAGCAGCAGCACCATCACCACATGCAGGGCAACCTGAGCGGCAGCGAAGCCGCCAGCAACAGCAGCCACAACAAACGTCTCGAGCGCCGCGGTCACACCAAGTCGCGGCGTGGCTGCTTCAACTGCAAGCGCCGCCGCATCAAGTGCCAGGAGACGCGGCCAGCCTGTGGCCACTGCCTCAAGACGGGACTGCAGTGCGAGTACCCCGTGGCGCCGCTCGTCAACCACCAGCCACAGCACCAGATTCCGCTCTTCAGCCTGCAGGACATGCGCTTCTTCCAGCACTTTTTGCTGCACTGCAGCCCGCACCACCCCCTCGGGAACCACTCGCTCTGGACGCACGAGATTCCCTGCCTTTCACATTCGGTGTGTTGCCATTTTCCCTTCTATTTCTTCGTTTTTTTTTTTTTTTTTTTTTTTTTTTTTTTTTTTTTTTTTTTTTCTTTTTTTGTCGTATACTAACAATACAGTACGATTATTTGATGCACGCGCTGCTCGGCATGGCCGCTTCGGATCTCATGCGGGACGACCCCAGCCTCGTGACTGCCGCGATGGACCACCGTCTCAAGGCCATCCGGTCGATCAAGCGGACGCTGGCTGCCGTCCCGAAGTGGCCCAATTCCGGTGCCGCACAGTCACAGCCGGCCGGGGGCGAGCGCAGCGGCTCCGGGTCCGCGTCGCCGCACAGCACGGGTGAGGAGAGTAGCGGGAAAGGCGGCGGGGCGCGACGACAGTCCGGGTCGAGCTCGGGCGAGCCCTGGGACTTGCACGGCGGCTCCAGCGCACCCGGCACGCCGATGTTCGAGGAGGGCAACGCGCTGATGGCGACGTGCTTTGCGCTGACGTTCCAGTCGGTGGCGCTCGACGACGGCATGGCCGAGTACATGACGTTTATCCGCGGCATCATTGTGGTCGCGATCCAGATGTACCTCAAGGGCGCACGCATCATGTTCCGCAACCTGCTGAACAACGACCAGGCCGAGCTGCTGCGGCCGGCGATCGAGCCCATGTCGGCCATTGACCGGCAGTGGAGCATGGCGGCGCTTGCGGCCTGCCAAAACCTTGCACCGCTTTGCGCCGGCGACAGCATGGCAACGACGTACCAGAAGCTGGTGGTGGAGATGGCCGAGGCGCTGCTGGTGTCGCCCATGGAGGCGTACTCGGCCATGACGCGGCACTATGCATGGTGGATGCAGCTGCCGCACGAGCAGTTCCGCCAGGTCATCGACCTCGACAAGCAGGTGTTTGTGCTGTTGGCGACGCACTGGATTGCGCTCAAACAGATCATGGCGCGCATCACCTCCAAGGAGGAGGTCGTGTCGACGGCTCTGTCGCGGATGGAGAGCGCCGAGGGACGGTCGGCGGGGAAGCCTGTGCCGTCCATTGAGGTCGACGGCGTCAAGGACGTGGACGGCTCCATGGACCCGGGCATCATCCGGTGGCTGAAGCACCTCAACCGACAGGTGGAGCCCGAGTACCTGGCCTACAACAAGTGGCCGATGTGGGTCGAGTCGGAACTGGACCGGGACCTGGGTGCGTTTGGCAAGCAGCGATAACTTTTGTGGCGTATTGTTTGATCCGTTTGTTTGATCTCTTTGTTTGGATGTGTAGCACGCTTCTATGATGTACGACGGGCCATAACCGCAAATGAAACATGTTACGATTTACTGCCTGCGCTCTCCAACACTCTCTTCACGGGTATAGAATGGCCCATGTGTGAGCTTAAGCCGGTCAAATGAGTTTGATATCGATCCCCAGCAGACGTCGATCTAAGTCCCGGGCTACAGCGCGTGTCTGTTGGTGGACTACGTATGGGATGCATCTTGATAGTAGTCAAATTGAACTATAAGGACTTTGTCACTGTGGCTAATAGTAATATGATATAAATGTTCCGTTTATGTATTTCACAAGACCAAAAAAGTACTTTTTGTTCATTTACTCGTGATTTAGTTGACAATTCTTATTCTTAAAATGAATGGCATGAACTCTCCATAATTTCCTTTACAGAATAGGGGATTTCCTCTTTATTATTATTATTATTATTATTATTATTTTCTTTTTGAAAAAATGAACTCGTCACAAGTTAAAGTACGACATGCCTTAAACATTTTGGCGAGGCATAGGGACATCGTGAGCGCAGCCATTAGCCATAAAACTAAACACCGAGACCCCGTACTAACTGACGAGGCGCAGACGTCCCAGTGGCGATGACCGCACAGCCACATAACGTCCTGAGACGTCCACTAACAAATTTTACTTGGCTAGCCTGCTCCCCAATCGTATTTCTCGCATTGAACGGCCTGCAATGGCTGGAAAAGGAAAAGAGTGATCCGAACTAACCCAATCAGGTTCCACGGGGCGCTCTGTGACGTTCGTTCGTTCTACACTGCTTCAAGGCACCATGCAAGGCTGAGTCGAATGGGCGCCGCTTTGGGCCCAGATAGGCAGGGAGGTCTCAGCATGGCAGGACGCACAAAGGCACTTCGTCGAGTCTGTCGGGCGTTTGTCATTGCCGTTTGAGTGTCGGAGTGCGCGCTGCTGTGCTCGAAACGGTCTAGAAGCTTTTGCATTGACTCGAATGAACCAACGATCTCCACGACGCTGGGATCCATGGAACGAAGAAGGCTGTCGACCGCCGAGCTTATAAAGAGGGTGTGAGCCCCGGCTTTAGAGTTGGAGATATTCATTGTCGACAACATCAATACAACGACAACACAGCACTCAATCTACACCGCAAAATCTTGTTCACATTTCTTGGATCGAGCACCCACCCCAACATCCTCGATCCTCCACCGCGCGTCCCACAATGGCCAGCCTTGTCCCATCGGCCGCCGCGAGCGACGAGAAGCGTCATCGGTTCTCGTTCCTCCACCGCAGCCACAAGCGCAGCTCCGAGTCTCTGTCGACTCTCGCCCAGACCGAGACCGTGCCTCCCTACGAGAAGCACGCGGGCGGCGGCGACGCCGACAGCGACAGCGACAGCAACAGCAGCAACGGCGACGACATTGGCGCGCAGGGCGACAACCCACCCGCCTACGATGAGCTCGACGGGACCGCGTCCAGTGCTCGCGCCAAGAGCGTCGCGCCAAGCATGTCGTTTGAGGGCGTCGCCCTCCATCCCACGCTGGAGCTGCAGCTCGACACACAGGGCAAGTCTATGAGCTCCGATTTTGCCCGGATGTCGCGCCCTGATCCGATCAACGTCTACATGGTCAACAGCGACGACGGCACCGCCATGTACAGCCGGCCGCCCGTCTTCATCTCGCTCCGCGAGAAACGCAGCTCCAACTCGTGCACGCTCGTTGCCGGCGGCAGCTACGATCCGCCGCATGGCAGCGGCAGCGGCAGTACCGGCGAGCACCGCGTCCTGAGCACAACCGTCTACCGGGTCGGCCCGGGCCGCCCGCCGCGCATTGCCCTGTTCGATCCCAACCACGCTTCCCTATCCGTGGACGACGACGCCACCGCGTGGGACCATTTTGAGTTCACGGGCAAGTCCATCTTCAACCGCGTCCGCGTCCTGCGCTCGCGCCTCGGCACCTTTGAGTGGCGCTACGCGACCCGCGACGAGCGCAAGGCTCTGTCCCAAGAGTTTATCGACGCCGCCGCCGCCGATGATGGCGCGTCGCCCAACGACAAGGATATCATCAAGCACAACACCATCAACAGCCTCATGATCCTCGAGCGTGTCACGCAGGTCTTTGGTTCGATCAACAACAACAACAACAACGGCGGCGGCGGCGCCAGCAGCAGCACCTCTGTTGGCAAGCCCCGCGAAGTCCGCCGCCCCGTGGCGCGCTTGATCCGCAGCAACGCCCTGCGCACGCCTGGCACCAGTAAGCACGGTGCCGGCAACGGCGGTCGCCTGCAGATCGACCTGCACGAGTGGTTGTCGGTTGCCAAGGAAGCAGAGTTTGGCGACGTCAAGACGGCGCCGCCGCATGACTTGGATGGCCAGACCAACCGCGACATGGTCGTCACTCTCGCCGTCGCGAGCTGCATTAGCATGTTAAAGAAGGAGCTTGACCGTCGCAGAGAAGCAGAGATCGCCGCCGTCGTTTAGGCTGGCGCTGCCTTTTGAGGGTTGGAAGGCCGGGGTGGGATACGAACCCGGACATGTCTGTTGCAATTCCTGTGTTTCTTTGTTTTGTCTTTTGTTCTATTTCTTTCTATTTCTTATGTACGATTAGACTTCTCTTTTGCGCTTTAGACTTACCTGGGATATATTCCCAAAGATGATACCAATTGCCCCTACATTGTTTACTATAGAAAGTAAAAACATAATCAAAAATAAATAAATAAATAAAAATAAAAATCTTCCTTACTCCATATAGATTGCGCCGTGCTTTTGGCCCTGTGTCAGCACATTGACATCAATTTGCGGCTGGTCGCGACCGCCGTCCTCCACATCCTTTTGGCGCTCCCGCTCCGCGTCCCGCAGCGCTTTCCGCAGCCGCCGCTGGCTGCACCGCGCCGTGTAATCGCCGGCCTCCCGCGTCTCAAACAGACGGTCCCCCACACACGACTGCCCGTAAATCTCCACAATCAGCACCCACGCAATCAGCCCCGTTGCAATCGACATCACCGACAGCGACGACAGCGTCTGTGCCGCCGGCAGCGCGCAGAAGATTGCCGACACCGCCAGCCGGTTCGCCATTCGCGCCCACTTGGGCAGTCGCGCCGTCGGCGGGATCTTGTGCTGGTGGCACAGCGCGATCAGCGTCATGGAAAACAGTGACACGCCCAGACCCGTGCTGTAGTACAGTCGCAGCCCCAGCGACAGCTCCGGCGACGACCGCGCCTGGTACATCTCCGTCAGCGAGTCAAGCGACGCGTTGTCGACATCCGTCGCCACCACAAACCGCGTCAGCGCCGCCGACGACAGGATAAACGCCAGCGTGAACAGCAAGTGCGCGTACTGCCAAATGTACGCCGTCTCGGCCCGCCGCCGGATCGCGTGCACGTGGATGTTGGTGGAGTCAATGTCAAAGTAGATCCAGTTGAAGATGAAGGCCTGCACCAGTCCCAGCACGGCTTTGCCCAAAAACGCATTGACGCCATAGCCGTGGCTGTTCTGGTACAGCACCCCGACCACCGAGTAGCCCAGCACCAGCGAAATAAACGCATTGGTCCGCTCGACCTTGTGCTCAATGTTCATCGCCGGGTAAAAGTCAAATACCTTGGTGGTTAGGTACCGCCCCAGCCGCGTTTTGCTGTGGCTGTTGGCGTACCGGAAGAGGCCGACCACGAAGCTGCCACCAAACAGGTCAAACGCCAGTGCCACGAACACGCACGCCAGCCGCACCGGCATCGACAAATGGATGCTCGCAATCCACAGCGCCGCCCCGATCACAATCAGCGCCACCTGGCAGAACATTGTACCCTGCACCAGCGGCACGAGAAGACCCGTCACAAAGCAGTACAGCCCCATGAACAGCCGCGCCGTCACATAGTATGCAGCCAGCGCCGGGTACGTGTCGGCCAAGAAGGCCTCGCTCGTGCTTGCCGTCGCTGGTTCCTCGCGCCGGAACAGCAGGCTGTGCTCGCCAGCACTGCCGCCGGCCGCCGGCTCAGCAGTCGATGCGCTGCCCGCCTCGCCCGAGGAGCCCCAGCCGTAGAAGGTCTGCACCATGTTGACCGTGACGCCCAGCAGGCACGCAAACAAGAACAGAATCTCCACGCGCTGCACCACGTCGTTGGTCGAGAACCAACTGACAAGCTGCGTCACGTCGCTCCAGATCTTCCAGCTTAGGCAGAACGTCACCAGGAAACGCAGCAGCTCGAACCCGTCGGCCGACTCAGCTGCGTGGTCACCGTTGACCGCAATGATACCGACGTAGAGCAGGTCAAAGAACAGCTCGAAACTCTGCACCGACGTCTCCTCGCTCGCCCGCCAGAGCAGCCCGCGGTGGAAATACTGTTTGACGATGGGCCGCTTGAACAGCTGCATGATTTGGCCGTTGTTCTGGTTATGCCACACCGGCACGCCGCTCTTGCCACCGTCGTCGCCGCCGCTGCCGCTATCGTCGTCGTCGTCGTCGTCCGTGCCCGAGGCGACGCTGTCGGCGCTCGAGCCCACCTCGCTGCCCCGGCGACTGCTGCTGCCACTTGGACCTCCGTGACCACCACCACCGCCGCCGCCGCCGTGGCCCTCGTCACCGCCAAACGTCCGCAGCGTCGCGCTGTATCCAAACTTGGAAAAGTTGTGGCCCAGGCTCGCGGAGTGGTCTGCCAGTTTCTCGAGCTCCGTCGACACGTTGTTGAAGTCGGCCGTGACGCGGTCCCACTCCGCTAGCATCTCGGGCCCGTACTTGGCCCTGAGCGTGTCGCGCTGGGACCGGTGGTGCGCCTGGCACTCCTCCAAGTACTGCTTGTGTTCCTGCGAGCCATGCACGACCACCTCGACCTGCGGGGCGCCCTCGCCACCGTCCTGCGCGGCTTCACGCATCACGCCCGCATACTTGTCGCGCAGCGCGTCCACGTCTTCGGGCAGCGCCACCAGCACGCGCCGCCCGTCCGCCATAAGAAACTCCTGGGGCTTGCGGCGGCGTCCAGGCCTGGGCCCCCGACGGCGCGTGTGCCTGTCGCCGCCATTGTGCGATGTCGTGCGACTGGCGGGGACGGAATCGGGAACCGCAGCGGCTGGTGTCGATGCTTCGGCCGCCAGGGACGAGGGTGGTGCGTTTACGCCCAACGTTGGCGACGGCGTCGAAGAGTCGCCATGTGGGCCGTCTCCGCTGCTCATTGTGTGCCCGAAAGAAGGGCGAATGATTCGTGGAAGCTGGGGAGGCGGTTGTGCTACGATTGGACTCGTTCCTCGAGCTAAAGACAACGACAAGCGGCGCCGTTTGCCGTTTTTCGGTGGAAGTTGTTGTTGTCGTTGTTGTTGTCGTTGTTGTTTTTCGTGTTCCGCAGTCTGGATTGGCAAATTTTGGTCTTGGCGCTCGTATCGCAATCTACGCCGTGCAAAACGCGTAGATGCGAGACGAAAGCCCTGGTGTGGAAATGGCGTCGGAAGAAAGACCGTCGGGTGCCTCGAAGTATGGAAAAAAACTAAAAGGCGAGAGATGTAAAAAAGAGACTGCTTCTAGACCCCGTTATAAAGGAAAAAGAACAAAAACGCCGGTGTATGGTCGAACGGTCTTGGCTTGTTGCTTAGATGTGTTGCCCTGTTCTTTCAATGTTTTTAAGCTTTGGCCCTCATTTTTGCTGGCCTCTCAGTTGTGCCGATCGGGACTAGCCTTGGAGAGCTCAGGTTATTGCCGTTAGCAAGCCCAGCCACGTCTAAGTCTTGGTCAGTATTATACGCAGGATGCATCTGTGGGCCCAAGCTGCCAAGACTTGGCGTCCAAAAGTTTCCTAATCATTTCAAATCCGAAGTACAATTAGGTATGTCTGATGTCCAAAAAATTGTATTGTCGTTTGCATTTGAGACAGCCTATGAACGCCGTTTGCGCCTGTGTTGTTGCTGTCCATAGCTTTGAGCTGTAATATTAAGCAAAATCCCCATAACCGTAGAACTCTCCTAACAGAACACCGGTAAAACTTTGAAAGGCAAATACAGAAGAAACAAACAAAAAGGCTGCAATAAGTAGCAAAAAAAAAGCAAGATAGGTTAAAACGGAGGTAAGAGACGTTGGAAAGCAAAGGCAAAATTTGAGCATTGCTTGCCAGCATGTCGTGTTATGTGGGACGTTTTCATAAAATGCATAGCTCATACAAGTGATGAGCACAAGCTTGGTGTTTGCGTTGTGGTTGGCGTGTCGTGATGGGGCGGTGCTGGTAAATGGTCGCTTGAGGGCCAAGCTTGAGTTCAGTTGTTTCGGTCAAGCGTTTTCTGTGGCTTGTAGTCCCGGACCTCATCAAACCAGCCCTGGGGCTCGTTGTAACGATACGCGTGGAACTCAATACCATATGGCTTTGGGTGAATGGCGAAAAGCATCCCCAGAGGGACATCAAGGTCCGCGATGTCCTCGCGCGTAAGATCCATGAAATAGGCCATCAAGACGCGGCACACAGAGCGGTGGCTGATAATCAAAACGTGGTCTGAGACACGTTCGACCTCCCGAACCATATCGCGCAGCCGGTTGATGACTTGTAAATACCCTTCGCCACCGACACCTGGGTAGATGTATTGCAGCTTGTCGTGCTGACGCTTTTCGTACTCGTCCGGGTGCTTTGTCGCAATCTCTTCATATGTCATGCCCTCGAACGTGCCAGCATTCAGTTCGTTGAGCATCTCCCACGCCTTGACATCATAATCGTCGTCGGCCTCAAAGTACTCGGCCGTTTCTCCGCTGCGCTTCAGCATTGACGTCCAGACGCAAAAGTTCTTTTCCTCAAGGTCTTGATTGAACTCGGGATATGGGGGCGTGTGATCTCCAGGCTGCGGTGGGAAAGAGGCGCGGGCAATTTTAGTTTCCTGTTCCACGACCCATTCTTTCCGTTTTGCCGTGATAAAGTTGTACAGCGCCATCCCGTAATAATGGCCTCGTTCGGTGAGATCCGAGTTACCACCGAGCTTGCCTGCGACATTATCCAGGCTCTGGCCGTGTCTTGTGATCCAAATTTGTCTTGGAGACAAATTGAACGTTGTCAAGTAGGACGCAATGCCGCTGGCCAAGAAGCCTCTGAGGCGGTGGTGGACAATTTTTCGTCCCACATCAATGATCTATTTAGCAAGTGGCACTGGTGTTAGTCAAGAAGGGTACTTCGCGAAAGATCATAGGTTGTGGATGATTGGCTTACCTGAATGTATTGCCAGTCGTGCTTTTCCTCGTATTCACCGACTGGCTCGTATGCACTCTCGTAGGCCTTGACACGGGCCTTGAAGTCTTCGAGAGACTGCACAGGGTCCTTGTTCTTGTAGTCAGGGCCCGAGAGCTTGAGACGCATATTTGCCTCCAACAACTGAAAGGGTACCACTGTTAGTAGTCCGTTGCGATTTTTTTTTTTTTTTTTTTTTTTTTGGTCGGAAACAATTCGCACAACTCACATTTTCGTCGTTGCAGATGCTCTCAATAAACAGAATGTTCAGTTTAGGCTCCCGCTGTTTGATGCGATCAACCAAAAGCGTCCGCCGATGAATGGTGCTATTTGTGGCATCCAAGACACCAACAGATCCGTTTCCGTTGAGCAGATAGTCAATGAGCTCGTCGAGAGTCTCCAGAGCGACCTGTTCCCGAATCTTGGATGCAGTCTCGTTTTTCGGATCAAAGAACTTGGCGGACTGGTCCATGTGGTTTTGCTGGTCGCCTTGAGTGCCTGCAGTTTCGGTAGAGCCGTTGAGATCGAACGTCGTGGGCTCCTCGATTTGAACAGCATGAGTGCCATTTAACAAAATCGACGCAGCCTCCTGAACGGGGCCATCCGCCTGTCCGTTAGGGTTGAGGAGCGACTGGCGGTGCTGGGAGGTAGGCAGCGACCTGCCTCTGGGCGAGGAAGAAGATGGAGGCATAACTCCGGCGGCAATGCGTCTCCGATTTCCAACGTTGAAAATGCGCGTGTTGTGCTGCTGCCATGAAAGGTATCGCTGAATCTTCTTTGTAATGTACGATTTACCTCGTGCAGGCAAGCCGACCATGATGATGACCAGCTTCGCGGCAACATCACGGTCGGGGATGCGGCCATCGGGCGAGACCTTGGACCGGGTCATGCCCGGGATGTTCAAGGACGTCGCATGTGGCCGGACTCGCGGCGTGTGGCTGCCCGAGTTCTGTCTCAGCGGAGGACTATGACGTAGTGTGTCAGCAGGAAATAAAACGCTGGGTGCGGGTCGTCGTACGCAGGGTTGTTTTTTACAACGCCTCCCCAGAAGCACTCCACAGTCGACGTTAAGTTGGCACAATAGAACACCACAGGGGTGCGAACATTTGCTTTGCGAGCAGCGTGTGTGGGAAGAAATAAAAACAGGGTGACGTAAACAAGGTATGGGTGTGAAGTGGACTGTTCCCATGAAACGAGGCTGTTGGCACATACATTCTCGGTGACCCAGGAGCGGTCGAGGCATTGCTCCGTGCGTAGGGTGATTCATAATGTGGGATGTTTGGCCTGCTGGTTGGAGGTCCAGCGGTACCATTAATGTTGCTTGGTGGTGGGAGCGAGTCGGTGGTGCCGTTGTTCAGGGACTTCAGCGCATGGGCGAGAGAGGCCTGTGGAGGAGGTAGAAGATGGCCATCTTGTCCGTGAGGTGGAGGAATTGGTGGGTGTTCTGTTTGCCGAAGTTTCGGAGACGAGGAAGCGGAGGAAGTTGAGTTCGTAGCTGAAGCTAGATGCGTGCTCATGACAAGCTTTGCCAGCGAGGATTGCTGGGATTGTTTTCTGCGAAGTTGGTCTGAAAGTCGACAAAGCGAGAGTCGACGGCGCGCAAGTCAGCAGACTGGGTTTTCGGAAGCGATAAAAAGGCACAAGTGCGACGCAGGAATCGTGGTTGAAAGTACAAGGTGTGCGGTGTAGCTTGAAGATCTGTGGCAATGAGGCGACGCGGGCAAGGTGGGTTATATGTCAAGAGTGAGATGCAGACGCGCCTGCCCCTGTAAGACGAAAGGCCAAGAGTACGACAGGACTTTGCTCGTTGGGGACAAACGGGCTGTGAATGGATGTTGGGGACAACTACAGCGTAAGATGAGTCGATTGGTGAAATGGAGGAATGAAAGGGGAGACCGGAAGGGGAGAGAGAATATTAGGAGAAGAAGAGAAGAAATAAACAAAGTGGTCTTGCGAACCTGTATTCTGATTCTGGCCTGTCTGGTCAGAGACAAAAGGAGGAGCTGAAAATGTGGCCGCCATAGAGCCAGCGCAAAGACAGCGTGCGACGCCCCAAGGCTGAGTCACAGGAAATACTGGATGGCACCTAGGTGGTGGAGAGATGGGCCTTCTCCTGGCCTCAAATCCGAACAAAGACTGTCCGCGGAAGTTCAGGGACGTCAGCCGCCGCAGCGGCCGGGAGCGTGGGCCCTGGAGTCGATGTGGTAGCTCGACCTAGCTTTCTATCGCGTCGTTGGTCGTCTCCCAGAGATTTTTTTTGTCAATCCTTTTTGTCAACTGGTTAGGAGCGCATTTGGCACTGGTCCATGCAAGTCTCCGCTGAACTTTTGCTAGTGCTGGAGAGTCGGTGCAATTCAGCGAAATGAAGAGCGCTGTGGCGGAGGAATGTTGAGTTGTCTGGGCGTGATGTGCGCCTGAGAGGCGTATCGACACACAAGGCCACGGGCGTGGGTGGGGCGGTCGTAATGGAGAGCTGCTTGCAGTGGAGTCTGATCCGAGCGGGCGGCAGGAACAGTGGCTCAGTGGATGCAACGTCCAGTGGGGGGGAAGCCGGTTTTAAATGGTGCTAAGGGCTTGGGCAAGCGACAAGCATTAGTATTAGGTATTGGAGTTGTGTACTTGGTATTCGCGCATGAGGCGATTGGCCTGCGATAGAGGGGACGAATGAGGGCGGCAGGGGGGGGGGGGACATAAAAATCCAAGACGTGAGAGAATGATGTAAGAAGAGAAAAAGAGGGAGTGACAATTAGGATGTCCAGCAGGGAAGATGGTTGAAAAAAAACAGGCAAAGTTGGTTGAGAAGGAAAGACAGAAGGCGAGATACATACCCTCGTTCCTGCCTTGACAAGGACTGTTTGGCTGATTACTGGGAGGGAAAGAGAAAGAAGAGAGAAAAGGCAAGTGCGCCACTTCCCCAAAAGTCGGTTGCCGGTTTCGCCAGGCGACGCAAAGGGAAAGTATGCAGGACAGAGGCCGATCAATGCGAGAGGGATACGGAAAGAGGCAAGAGAGGAATTAAAGTCCGGATAACCGCAACTGTTGGTCTTTCTGCCGCTGGACACTTCTTTTCGTTCAGTGTCGGGCAGTGAGACTGATGGTTTCGGCTGATGGTCGTCTTTGTCGTGGGTTTCGCGTGTGTTATTCGCAGTGTCTCATGTTCTCCTTTGGGCGGTTTTGTTGGGGTAGCGAGGAAGGACTTCTGAATTTTTGGCAAGAGCGTTGCGCAGCAGAGGTGACTTCGAATTTGCAGGGACGGTTGAGGGAAGGTGCCCAGTATAAAACCAAGACACAACAGACAAAGAAGGCAAGATCGGACGTCGCAATGAGAACAGAACGGGAAATAGCAACGGGCAGATATTGGCAAGACGGCAGACCTGCCCAGAAAAGATCAGGAATCAGCGTAGAAGCAACCTTTGCGGCAATCTCGCAAATAACGCCTTCTGACAAAAGCCCCGTGAGAAATGGGTGTCACACTAGATTACAAAAGTCCTTTCACCGTAATGCGAAGCGCTCGCTCCCCTTAATCTTTTTTTTTTTTTTAACCTCACCTCACAATTTAGCTTTGGAGAAACTTGCCTCCCACTTGGTTCGCACCTGCCGTGAACGGCGTTTCACGAAAGAAGACAGAAGTGGCAGTTTCCCCGCCAAGCTCACACAGTATATTTACACTGAAAAATACGACGTACGTCGGACGGTAGAATGCCTTTAGCTTCCCTGAGTGGACCACTACTCTCTTTCAGTTTCGCTGTTTCGGTGTCTGTTGTCCGTCGGCGCTTCTGTGCGTCAGTGGTGCCGGAGGTGTGGTGAGTGATGCGGAGAATTGGAGACAGGGGGAGGATTGGCGTCTCAACCTCTTCTATTCCCCCTCCTCAGGGTTCTGCCAGCGACAAGCGGCAGATGCTCCAACGGGACAACTTGCTCCGTGGCTAAAATTCACAGACACCTGCGAAGTTCGGAGGGCGCGATCGCTCTTTTCTGCTTGTTGGGAAAGGCTAAATCAACTAGCGCCTTTTTGGACGAGACATTTAGGGCCGCGAGGGCCGCGAGGGCCGCTAAGGAGGAAGGTCACAGAGGTATGGAAGGAAGTGTGAAAGAAGAACAGAGTGAAAGATGGAGGGGCTTCGTTTTGATGGAAGGCTAAGCGGTCGGCAAGAGATGGGCAACGACTGCCCAAAACGACAAGAAAAGGCACAAAAGAGGAGAAAGGTGCTGGCCTAGCCAAGTCAAGGAAAGAACGCCCGCCGTCTAGAGACAACGTACCTAAAAACGTGCGAAGAGGACCTGCCGCTGTAGGAAATGCTGCACCTTCTGTAAGATACGAAGTTGGGAAGGTGGCCCCGGGCAAGAACTGGGAAGACAAAGCAGGAACCACATAACACCTAAGTACCACTGCCGATTGGGGAAATAGCAATATTATGAATCAGGATGAACCGACAAAGTGATACTGGGCAATCGAAGTCCACCCGCTGGTATTTGTTCCACAGGGGACGCGAGCCCACTTGCATCTGAAGCTGTTGCTATTCCTCACAGGCTGCCATTATGCTCCCGCAGGTGTCACCGGAGTTTTGTTCGGGGCAAGTGCTGTATCGGTGCGTCGCGACGCCCTGGCGTGCGCCGCGTTTCCCAAATGGTGGCTTAGTTACAACGTCGCTTGTCCGAATTGCGCGGAGAAAGTCCTACGCCAGCACGCGACAGCTTCAGTGAGCCCTCGTTCTCGGATCTCCGGGAAGCCCGCCTCAAATGCCTCTTCCATTGCGAAGTAAGATAACTTACAATTCTTGGCGATCCGCCCCAGGCAAGCGAGCTTCTAAACTTGGGCGAGAAGGATAATCATGGTGACGACTGTTTGCACCATCTAAGACGGCGATATATGTTGTACCGCACTGCTTTCAACAAACTGAAGTCGCGCAGCAGGTGAGCACAAGATGGCCTGCTTAGTACCGGCGAACAAGGGACATTTGTATATACGGCCAAGCCTCAGCCATATTTTCGTCGTTTTGTGCGGCCTTTTGGGGCGCTTTCCGACACATCCGTTCAGCATTATCCCATTTTCTTTCCCTTGAACGACAGGCGGTGATGAATGAGACGTAACTTTTCATGTCCGTGTTGGATGCGAAGGTGATAGGTGGCATGAAGGTGCTTTTGGCGAGAGGCAACGCGAATGCTGTGAATGCGATAGGAACATTGCATGAGCTTTGCCTCTCCCTCCTCCATCCATACGTGATATTCAGTTCCGGTCAGTGCCCCCACGCCGCTCGTCAGACTCCTCTTCTGGAGCTACCTGTGTTACATTACGCTGGGTAACTCCCCATTTAAACACACCTGCACAAATGCGTGGAATAAAGAAGTGATACAAACTATGCTTGGCAGCCCGGATATCGCTTCTAGTTTAAATGATAGAGGCCCTTTTGGGGCACGTTGCAGCTTACAAGACGAGCCAGGTCGCATTCCAACCAACTGAAAGAGCGCCCACAATCACATGAACAGGCAGATCATGCAAGAGATTGTGTAGTGTTCCACAAACAGTACACACCACCCTTTTGAAAGCTCGGCCCGCCTGATGGAGATCGCAGGCGTCTCACGATAGGCACCGCTCAGACTGCACTTATTTTGTCGCACAGAGATATGCATCATACGTGGTGACATGAGCCAATAGCTGGCTTATTGTAGCCCCGAACGTGGGCTTTTCGAAGCTAGCCATAGGTCTGGTGAGTTATGCTACATAAACCGGCAAGGCACCATGCATACTGTTTCCCACGCCATCACATTTCATAAATATCCCAGTTCGGCCTTTTCCACTCGCCATTTGCCCCCGTTGGTTTGGTATCCCCATATGTCAAAGAGATACCAGCCAAGCCTTGCAGTGGTCCCACCATGCTACGGCCGTTCGCCTTACTTTGCTGATAAGGTAGGTTTGCAAACATGCAGCACAAGTCTTTTTACAATCGAAGCGCTGCAGCACATGTACTGGGCATCCTGCAAACATGCCGCATGCCTCCGTATCAGTCTGCCGGAGATCCCCTTGGCAAAAGAGTGCTCAGGTTTCCCACTTCGGATACCTCCAAAGTAGCACAAAGTGCTCAGCATAAGCCTAAGAGACATATTACTTTGCTCGCTTAGGAAGAAAAGGCCACTCAGCAGATCCTTGCGTCGTGGAGCCAAGACAAGCTCGGGAATTTGTACCATATTAAATTGTCAAACCCGGAATGACATCCTCAGAAAGTTGCTTTAAAATCAGGCACAAGGTTTGAGTCTGGCCCAGGCTGCATAACCACAGTAGGATGTTTTTATTTATAGGATGCATTTCCTAATACTCAGGTAAAGAGACAGAGGGGGAATGATAGAAGAGACCGAGATAACAAAACTGTGAAGCTTGGCTCACTCGAGGATTTTTTTTTCAACAACAATATGAAGATCTACTTGAAATTATGCACGTGAAAGGCAGATAGCCTTACCAGACCACAGAAACTCTAGTATTTATGTTACGCGGAAGGCTCTCGTAAGGAGGTTTGCTGAGCAAACCGACAGACATGAGTCGCATGAACAAATGCAACCTAAGATCGACGGCCTCAGCCTCGCGTTGACACGCGCTAAAATAATTGGTAAGTCTTAAATTCAGCGTAGAGGGTCGAGGCTGAGACTTTCATTCGGCTCTTATTTAACCGAACTTCAAGATAGTAGTCACCACAGAGCATCCAAGGCAATTCCAATATGAGCGCCATATCGTATCATGATTCTAAATCGTGTGTAACAAAGGGCAACCTTATTACTCGACCGCCGAATGCGCAGGAAGGATGTTGTGTTTGCTGCCAGGTTGATATGACCCACTTTTATTTCTGCTTTGCGCAAAGCTACCAATGGTCGGAAAAAATTCATTGTGACGAGGTTCACAGCGAATGCTCCTTCTCCTTTTGATGCCTTCTGTCACTCGCACCTTCCTGACTGAATCGACCTCATGCACTATCGCTCCTTCCACTCTTGCACTCTCTCATGCATTATTTACACATAACAAGGCGTGACCTGCGATTTCCCCGGTCAACGCTTCTACACGGCCAAAAAAAATCCACCGATAGCAGTGAGATTTAGAACTGGAAGCCACCCAGATTTTATCACATACCGGAACGGAAAGAAGGCACGCTCGTCACCATCTTTTCATCTTTCCTCTAATTACGTCGTACGCAGTTTGATCCTTCCGGTTCCTGCTACAACTACATCGTTGGCACCTGCTGCCTCAGCGTTTGGGTTACCGCCTAGTCTGTGTCAGCTGGCCCTGCCGACAACGTCAACGGCCCACGAAAGTATCCCACAAGTCTGAGCCAAGAGGCAACCGCCATGTCCAAGATTTAGGAACTCTTTCTCGGCGATCCTTTCTTCATCCTGAACACTGCGTGCGTGTGGCCATCATCTCCAGGCCGACCACCTTGACTGGGTGTCGCTATTTTGAACTCTCATCTGCTTCTTCCCTTCCTTTTTCTTGTCGGTTGCCTTTAAGGTGCCATTTCAATCTTTCTTTCATTACTTCGCTTCTCTGACTCGCCTGCCTGGGCTGCTCTTCTTTCCCCGACTTGTGAATGCTGGAAAAGCAGAGCAAGCATATCGAAAAGGGGGGGCACGGAGACGACGACGTGAATAGAATCGGCGCCGGTGACGGCCGGAAGCGAAAGAGAGACGGAAGCACCGGTGCTGAGACTGATACTGAAGCGGACACAGACACTGCGAAACCTCATAAAAAGCAAACGGAGCCCGTTGTCGACACTGCCAAAAAGTTTGAGCTTGCTAAAATGAACTGCCGCGCGAAACTGAGCGAGATTATTGAGGGCCAGGAGCCCGTCACTAAGAGCCTCATTCCGGAGCACATTGAAGATGGCGTCCTAATCCCACTCAAAACGACTCTTGAGCTGCGTGACGATCACCAGTGCGGACAAGTTCTGATAACCCGGACGCCCATCCGCTCTACAAGTGCAGTCATCAAGTAGGTGCATTCCCATTCCAACGGCTGTCTCTTGTTTGTCTGTTATTTTGTAGTCTGCCAAATAGACATTCCTAACTCGCGTTTTACGATTTAGCCTCCTACGCGACCTGCTTCCTGAGGAAATTGTTAAGGGCATGCCTCATTTGCGGCGGTGTGCGAAGCCTATGGATCTTCCGGCACACCTCAAGACCCAGTTCATGAACGACACGGCTGCGAGCAAACAGATCCACACAGGCAAGTCGAATTGGGTGTATGTTCTTCTGGGCCTGGAAGCCACTCTATCGCAAAAAGAAATGGCAGAGGCATTGTCCAAGGTGGACGGGTTCGAAGAAGGCGTCTTCATTGCATCCATCCCAGTACCGCTCCTGGCCCCAACATCACAAATCCAAGCCGCTTTGTGGACCAGCCAGTTCTGGCCAACCATGTACCGAAAGAACAACCCTCTGGGACCACATCCTAGCCTGGTGATCCGGGCTACCGATGAGATTGCGGACGACGCCCCGATCTGGATGGCCCTGGCGAACGAAATGGCAGTCAAGTCAAAGGAAACCGGCCTTGGTGAAGCCATGGGTGCCTGTATCGTCTACCGTGGAGACGATGGACCGCGTCTGGTGGCCGTTGCCGGCGATGCCCGCTGGCAACACCAGCACAAGTCGTCCAAGACGGGCAACCCGATGGCCCATGCTGTCCTCCGTGCCATCAGCATGGTGGCCCAGAAGCTGGTTCGCGCCGAGAAAAAGAGCCAGAGAAGAAAGAGTGTGTCAAGCAATGCTAGCGTCACCACCACCACCACCACCACCAACGAGAACGAGCCACCGTCGAAAAGTGCGTCCGTGCCGCCCGTGGTGGTTCCGACCAGCGACAATGGTGTTATCCACAACGCCGAGAGCAGCGTTGACAGCATGGAAGTAACACCTCCGGCAGCCACCGAGGACGTAGTCGTATGTCAGGTGCATAACGAAGTACAGGATCGTGTGCGAGACCGGCTGAGTCGCGGTCGTGACCGAGGGCACGCCGGCCATCGGCAGCGATTGGAGTTTGAGGTATTCAAGGATAAGCCGCTGCTGGAAGAGGAGGAACGCGTCTTTATGGAAGAACACCCGACACCGGACGGCTATCTGTGCCATGGCCTTGAGCTCTACGTCACGCATGAGCCCTGCACTATGTGCTCGATGGCGATTCTCCATTCCCGTATGGGCAAGGTCGTCTTTGCCAACCGCATGCCTCTGACCGGTGGACTCAGCGCCGAAGACCGAACCTTGGTGCCCAGCTCGACACCCGACGTGCCCTATTCGACCGATACCCACACTGGCACGGATATGGATGGCGCAGGCGGAAGCACCCATGGTCTTGGCCTCTTCTGGCGGCGTGAGCTAAACTGGAGCTTTTTGGCTTGGGAGTGGGAGGCTCATTGCACCTGCAAGCCCCTGAACATGGCGCCCACGACGCATGCATAATAGCACGGCCAGAGGCCGCGGTGCAGCCCCGGCTATGGCGTTTATGATGAGCGACGTCTATTTTCTTACTTGTTGCGAAGTTCTTGCGCTGCAATTGTCATTCATTTCCTCTTGGTTTTCTTTCCCTTTGCTTACCATTTACAAGTGAAGGATGTTCTTATTGCGAAGTGGCGTTCGTTATTGGTCCCTGCTTTGTTTTATTAAGTCCCTGTCTCATCAGACGCTTTGTATCCGAAGAGAAGAGTCCAATTGTCTTTATCCGGGGGGTTTTGGCGTTCAAGGCAAAAAGGCAGTCATTGTTCAGCTGGTACGGTTTAGACAGTTGGTTGTGGAGAAATGACCTGCATTCTTTTCAAGCGATGCGAAATGAGATGCCATAGATACTGAAAGCTTTAATCAAATGATATATGCCTGAATCATAGTTTGTAGTGCCAAAAATGATGATCCATCCAATACGCGATATGATTGTACAAGGGATGCTGTGAGACGACCAAACTTTGGATGGCCACACATGGAGCATCGTCATGTGAGTGTCACGTGCACAATACTGAAAACAAAACTTGTGAGGATATTCTACATCCAGCGTCCTGCATAAGACAAATGGAGCGGCGTGCAGAATCTAGACAAAGACTGACAGGCACTCTAGACTCGTGAACGTAGTCACCCATATCGTTGAGGAACTTTGGTTTGAGCAGGTAGGGCAAACCGCACTGCCAACTCCCCATGAGCACCCTATTTCAGGCGCCGGAACAGCAGGTACCGGAACTTGACGTTTGATTTCATCGCTTGATGAAGCTCAGATTTTGTCCTTTTCTGACTAGCTTCACGGACTGTGTGCAGGAGGGGGCAAATGTCGGACGTGTTAGGGAAAAGGAAAAGTGATGGGTGACGAGGTGGGAGACGGAGGAAAGAACGGAAACATACACCCAACGCCCGGGCACGGTTTGGATGGACCTCCAGGGCAAAGCGCCTTAAGCCAGGGCAAGGACCCCCCCCCTCTCTTGTTCCTTCCACATCCGTCTCCTGGCCCTCCCGCCCTTACCAATGAGCAACTAGTGATCAACTCACCTACCATTGACAGGCTAGGAAGTATGCCCTTTCAGCTTCCAGGCCTGTTTTAACCACCCCCCCCCCTTTTTTTTTATTTTCTTCCACCTCCTCTCACATGCACCACCACTCCTCCTCCTTTCCACCCTCCCATCTCGTTTTGGAAACCCCCCCCTCCCGGTCACTATACTACTTTGGTAGACACTCGCTTTCTCCTCTTTCTTTCGTTTGCGGCATATCCTATGGAATCCTTTATATAACCCCCCCTCCTCTCGCTCTGCCCATGATCTAGCCTTGCGATTACCTTCACTTGTTCCCTCTGTATTTACGGTGGCGTTTTGACGACTCTGTTTCGCATGTCTCGTTCCACGATCCGACATATGACGGCGAAAGTAGCCAGGCGATAAACCCAGACGACCAACCCCAACGCCATAGCTTCAGGCTCCTCGCAAATATCCGCTTAAAAATTCCAGTAACGAAATCCATCCAGACGTAAATACGAAGCGAACTTGCTTCCCTCAGCTGCCCAAATCGACAGCCAACGGCGAATGATCCACAGCGACGTTCCACGCAAGCTCTTACAAGCGATTTTCCCAATTACACGCCATTTCCATAGCGGCTCAGCTATTTCACTGTTGCAGGCGAGTTTGGGGGTTTGGCCAGCTCGGGTCCTGCCGCCCTTTACTGGATTGCCGCTGCAAGCATCACGAGGCTCTCAACACTCGGACGAATAGATACGACAGCTACGGTGACGCTGACAGCAAACAGCAACCAACGCAGCAACAGTGGCAGCAGCAGCTAGCAGCGTGTTTCGCAGCCGCCCTACACTCTCTGCGGCTTTGGCTACCACTGGCGCACGCGCTCGGCTACACTCCGGCTACATCGGCCTCCTGTACACCCAAACAGCTGTTACTGCTACTGCTCGCCCTGCGTCTGCTGGAGGCAGAGGTCTTGTTGCCCGGAGAATGCCTTCTGCGGGCCGCAAGAGCAAGGCATCCTCGACCGCCGCCGCTTCCACCTTTGCCATCACCGGCGGCTCCACGACACCCGTCCCCATTCCCTCAATCGTTGCCCCAGCGCGCTCGATGCCGACGGCACCCACCCCCAAGGCTGCCGCAGGGCGGAAGCGGAAGCAGGACGATAAGAATGCCCAAAAGTTCTATGCCGTCCGCGCAGGCGCACGGCCGGGGATCTACCTGACATGGCACGAATGCCAGGCCCAGATTGCTGGCTTCAAGGGAGCACAGTGTGAGTCGCTGCCGATCACTTCGTCCCATATCTCTTGTTCTTTTTCTTCCATGCTTGACTGCTGACGTATCCGGCCCATTTCGTACAGACAAAAGCTTTGTTACTCGAGAACAGGCCGCCGCGTTCGTTGCGGGACTCAATCCCGAAGGCGGCGCTAAGGACAAGGGCGAGCCGCGATTCTACGCTGTTGCGATCGGCAAATATCCCGGTATCTATACAGACTGGTCGGAGGCATCGAAGGCCATTGTAGGAGCCAAGGGACCCAAGTACAAGAAGTTCCCTACGCGACAAGAGGCGGCGGACTACATCCGCATGTACGCCAACGAGGAAACCCGCCAGGCTATGCGTGGTATGGGCAGCGGCACAGCCGCTAATGCAAATGCCCAATATGAGGGCAACGAAGATGAAGACGAGGACGAGGACGAGGACGAGGACGAGGACGACGATGAAGAAGAAGACGCGGCACAGATCCTGCAGCCGGCGACAAAGCGTTCGAAGCCGGGCAACAACGCGGCCCCTGCGAGCTCGACAGCCGTCCTGGACATTTACACCGATGGCAGCAGCTTAGGCAATGGCAAGAATGGCGCCTCAGCAGGCGTCGGCGTTTTCTTTGGACCCGGTGACAAGAGGTATTTTACTCGCCATATTTTACCCGCCAATCTGACAAAACCGCAAGACTGATCTTTGTTTGTGCTCACCCAACCGCTCGTTGTACAGGAACATCTCGGAACGGCTGAAAGGCCCGATGCAGACAAACCAGCGTGCTGAGTTGACGGCCATCCTCCGCGCCCTCCAATTGGTGCCAGTGACGCAGCCGGTGCGTATTTTCTCCGACAGCACGTACTCGATCAATTGCGTCAGCGTGTGGTACAAGAGCTGGGCAAGCAACGGATGGAAGACACGCGGCGGCGATCCGGTCATGAACCAGGACCTCATCAAGGCTGTACGGACGTTTATTGATACCCGCGACAAGTCCGGAACGATGACCATGTTCCGGTGGGTCAAGGGCCACAGTTCGGACTCTGGAAATGTGGCGGCCGACATGCTGGCCGTTCAGGGAGCACGCCAGCAGACATGACCCGGCATTGTCTCAGCTGGTTGGGAGTTTGTACACCATGGTCCACCTGTTGTTTATCTGAGAGGCGTTTGTTTGGGTTGGATGTTGGACGTCGTTTTGACCTGCTTTTACATCGTACACCGTGTGCTTTCCAGTCCTATCTACAGCTGTATTTATTACTGCTTTGAATTCTGCATTGCTGCCGGCGTTATTGCATTTTCAATTTGCTTCGTTTGAGCATGCCCCTGTATCTTACTCGCTAAATCGATCACCAAACAAGACACTACGTGCCTTTTGTATTCTCTATACCATGTGCAACTGTATCTCTTCCCACAATAATTGCAAGGCTGATCGTACTTCCCTCGACAGTCGTTCTCTTTGCCTTCGCACCTTCCCCGGGGTTGACTGTGGACGGAAAAAGTGGAACTCCTCCTCCGTTAGTGTGCAGTGGCCAGGGTACTTTGTATCTTACAACCGACGGCAAGAGCCCCTCTGCCCACTCTTAGGCGTGCACTTGCCAAGTATCTTGACATTAGCTTATTTTTACTTAGAGCCGACTTTCCCCCTTAAAGTTTTCTTGCTGCTGAAAGCCTGCTTTTGCAAACCTCTTCTTCCTACAGACCGTTCGTCACCGTTTGAAGCCAATCTTCGTCTTATCTGTATCCTGACTGCGCCTCGCTCCGACGTCGTTTGCGCTTGCGTTTGCCCTCAGCAAGTATTTCCTTTGTCTCCGATCACCAACTGCATCACAGCATAATTCCTGGCCAATCAACCGGCTGCATAGAGTCACACTTTGTCGAGCAACACATCCACCCCCTCGCCTGGCTGTTTTCGCACTGCAGCTACTCTGCGTCTGTGTTTATATCTTGCGTCTTGTGCAAGGTTCGACCGTTACGTTGCTATCATCATCATTGGTATCTTGACATCGACAGCATTTCGATCCCAATTACGTGACCCACGCTCCCTGTTTGCATCATCTTCTCTTCGAATCAAGCACCACCCGCTCCAACGGCCTCTCTCGCTCTAGAGACGAGGCTTCACCGGGAATTCTGGAGTTTTCTGCGGAAAACGCATCCATCGTCTACAACCGCCCCCATGATTCAATAACACGAGCCGTGTCCCCCGTGCCTTCCTTTGCCACGGGTGTCAATCCTCCGACCCCGGATCTACCAGCTCCGGGTTGCGAACTCCACCTTTCACGATTCACGCGCCCTCCAAGACCTAGTCGGCACACTGGCCGACCCCGGTATCCGACAATTTTCGCCGCGGGCCCTGCTCTCCCGGCCGCTCCTGGCCTTGCGCCGTTGCTGCTGATTCGCATGAGCAAGGACGACTCGGGCGTGACATAATCTTCGACATACGCTTAACACCGTCTATCCTACTTTATCTTTGCCCTGTATTTCCACTGCATTTACAGTATCTATACGCCCGGTCGTCCGAAGCCACTACCATCGTCATGCCGACTTTGGCTTTGACAGACTTCAACATTGTGGTCAGCGTCCTCGGAGGATGGGTTTCCTTGTTTGGGCTGGTCTCTTATCTCTGCAAAGAGAAGTTCTACCTGTCTGAAGCTTGTAGGTTCTTTCCAAGCGAAGAGTCGGGAAGGTATTATAAGTGAAGTTCTGGCCTGAACGTTAACCCGCCTGTAGTGATTTCCCTTCTCGCTGGCGTGGCCTTCTCTCCGTCGGGCGCCAATCTTATTCGGCCTCTCGAGTATGCCGGTTCGCAAGCCAATCTCGATTCGGCGACCCTCTACTTCTCGCGGCTGGTGTTGGGCGTGCAGCTTGTTCTCGCCGGTGTGCAGCTGCCCAGCAGGTACCTGCAGCGTCACTGGCGGCCGCTGACCTGGCTTCTTCTCCCCATCATGACGGTCATGTGGCTCGCGACCAGCCTGCTTATCTGGGGCCTTGTTACGCCTCGTCTGTCGTTTCTGCACGCGCTGGCTATCGGTTCGTGCGCAACCCCGACGGACCCAATTCTGTCCAACGTTATTGTCAAAGGCCGGTTCGCCGACCAAAACGTCCCCGTGGAGCTCCAACACATCATTATCGCCGAGTCTGGCGCCAACGATGGCCTGGGCTACCCTTTCCTCTTCTTCGCCCTGTACCTGATCCAGTACATTGGTTTCGATGCGACTCCCGAGTTTCCGGTGCCTGAAGGCGGTGCCGGCAAAGCCATTGGCCTGTGGTTCGGCGAAACGCTCGGATACACCATTCTTTTGAGCATCGTCTATGGCGCCGTGGTCGGATACGTCGCAAAGGAGTTGCTGCACTGGGCAGAGCAGCGTAAGTTTGTGGACCGCGAGAGCTTTCTTGTTTTTGCCATCTCGTTGGCCCTGTTCATTGTCGGCACATGCGGTCTTATCGGAAGCGACGACGTGCTGGCCTGTTTCATCGCTGGCAACATCTTTACCTGGGACGATTGGTTCCGCCTCGAGACGAAAGACGATTCTCTGCAGCCGACGATCGATATGCTGCTCAACGTGACCATCTTCATGTGGTATGGTGCCGTTTGTCCTTGGTCGTCGTTCCTAAACGGCCCTGTGCCGCTACCTCGCCTGGTTGCGCTCGGCATTCTCATGCTGCTGCTACGTCGCCTTCCCTGGATCATGGCCATCCACAAGTACATCCCGCAGATTCAAGAATGGCGCCAGGGCATCTTTGTCGGTTTCTTTGGCCCAGTGGGCGTTTCGGCCATCTTTTATCTTTACATCACGCTGGACTTTCTCGAGAAGCTGTCGCCCCGCAGTCTTGATGACGGCACCGATAACCCTGCTAAGCTCCGCCCCGATGTTGCTACTCTCGGGGAGACCGCCACTTCTGTCGTGTGGTTCTTGTCGATCGTCAGCATTGTCGTACACGGCCTGAGCGTCCCACTCGGCAAGCTGGGTTTCTATTTACCGCGCACATTCAGCCGCGCCCTCCCATCGTCCCCGTCGTCTGCGTCTCTTGGCAACAACGACGGGGTCCTTACCGGTCGGCGTGTGCGGAACGGTCCCTCGCTACCTGCCTTCCGAATTGGCAGCCGTGTCAACACTATGTCTATCCAACCTCGCGGAGCCGATGGTGGTGAATCGCCGGCAGATGCTCAGGTTTCAGCGCTGCCCGACGTACAGCCCAATGGCGACCAAGCTCGGCACAACGGCGGTAGCGGGGATACGGATGTCGACAAGCAGATAATGGGCAGCTCCTCTTCGCTTCCGAGTGGTGGTAATCCGGGCTCTCGGCAGATCTACCGTATTGGCGGTTCCATCATTCACGAAATCCCTGTTGATTCAAGTGGAAGCAGCAGCCCTATCCGGCGCCCGGTGTACGTGGGACCTGAGAACGGCGGCGGCGAGCCTACCGACAACCATTCCAACTCACCGTCGCCTCGTCCCTTGGCCCTGTCAGCGGCGCCTCCTCCGCCCCCGAATCGGACCATTCGCTTTCCAGACGAACCGCCTTACGTGTAACTCCGTAAAGGCGAACATGCCGGTGTCCGTGTTGCTTGCCGGCTCACCTTGACAATCTGCAAGCCAAATATGTGTATATTAAGGATGTCGAGGGGATGTTTAGTAAAAACGGCCAGAAGAAAAAGAGCTCATTTCGGGCGAAGTCGGCTGTCTTGATATGCATCGGTCAGTTAATTGCGAAAGCATCAGCATCGAGTACCAAGGCGGCTCCTTTCTGCGGACCAAGCTCTATTTGTACTGCATCGTCTTTCTATTCCGGGGTCGTATTTGCATCTTTCTATTCCCGTCGTTTTCGCTTCAGATACTTTGGGTCTCGTCCTTTTTGGTTTTTTTGTGTACTTTTTCCATCTAGACGAGATCAATCTACAAGCTATTGTTTTGGTTATAAACAGTAATACTCCCACCACTCACACGCTTCCGGGCTGTACTTTCCTTCCTGTTTTAAGCGAGCAGCCTTATCGTATTCCCCTTCGTAAGTCTTGATAACTATCACATTGGCGAAGCAACCTACGGGACTTTAGGCGATTGTCGGTGCATCTTCTTTGTCTGCGATTCAATTGGGTCAATTGTCCATGCCCCATTTGCCAAGTTTTGTTTTGTGGTTGAGCTGCAGCTTGTGTCGCACGTCTTTTCTTCCCGCATGAGACGTGCGTTACGTTGGGGATGCTGGTGTTAACGACAGAGCCACTTTGCAAGAAGGCCACTCCATGCTTTCAAGCTGGCCCACTCCGTTCTCCAACCTGAAGAGTATCTTATGTTAAGTAATCGTCACCTTGTCGTACGGAGTCCTGTCCGATAGTCTCACAAAGAGGGGCCGACCACGAAGCGAACCTCGAAAGTCAGCCCCGGAAGATAGCATTTCCAAGCCAGGCAACGGGTGCGCAGGAAGTGTCTGCGTGTTATCTAGCCGCGATCCTCCGTCATAGCCCCCGTATGGACCAGAGCCAGTTTGCAACGCCCTCTTTGACTAATATAAACGCCTTCTTGAAAAAAAAAAAAAAAAAAAAAAAAAAAAAAAAAAAGTAAAAAAAATGACCTGGGTCGACGGTGGCACTTAATTTCGTGTGTCTCTGAGATATCTGAGGCGTCTTTGTTGCTGATGGACCCTTTTCCCTGCATATCCTCCCAAGCGGCCTGTCGACTTTTGAAGAACCCCTTAGGGACAGTAGCTTGGAATGCTCTAACGACTGGGCAATGTGATTCAAGAAAGCGAGATTGAAAAAAGTTTTTGGTTGTGCCCTTGCATCAGGGCATTGTCTCACATTCTTCGAGCCTTTCGTGAGGGTTCAAAAGGCAGTTTGTGTGAGATATACCACACACTTCCTTTGGTATCGCCCTTGTGACCAGCCCTTACGCATCGGGACCGAAGTGCCAAACATTGCCAACAACAAGACTGCCAATAACCATTTGCCTCCATCGTTCAGTCCACTTTTAAGAATGCCATCGGCGTATGTTCTTCTGTATGAGAGGCTTTTGTCATCGGAGTCCTCGGTACGTGTGCCAAAATGCAACGACATGCCAAATATAAGACATGCACGTGTATCATGACAGGTGCCCATGCCTGCTGCCTTGTCGTTTTAGCTACGCTGTCCTCTGAAGTGTTCTTTGCTCCGATTCTGTATTGTTCCTCTCCCTTCCGTCCCGAGCAGGTCCCTCCGTGCAGCCCGCTGTTGGAGGACGAAATGAACAGATGATCCCACCGCCAGCCCTGAACACGCTTCCACGATAAGAAAAGGCCACCGTCGACTCTTCAAACATACCAAGTCCCTCTTTGGCTTTCCCCTTCCCCACTGGGTTGTGGTCATCATCAACGACACGGGGCGTTCCGTAGGCAGCCTGGGAAAAGAAGTCACCTGTTGACAGCGGACGCGGCCCTGTCAAAAGCGTTGGGACATAACCAGTTTTACAGTTTTACCGCCAGCACTAAACCCTTTTCAGCGCCACCACCCTCAAAGAATATCTGGTTTTACGGAGTAACTTACCATTAGGCCTGCCCAGAAGAGGGGGCGACTTGGGACCAGCAAGTTCAACCCCGTAGCCTTTTCCCGAGAGCCATGCCATATTAGCATGGTGAACGTACCAATGACACCCTCCCCCCTCTGTTCTCTAATGTCAACATAGTCCGCACTATTAGTTCACCAGCATAATAGGGGCAGATACCTCAGTCTCCCTCTTGTGGCGTCTTGGCCTCTTTTTTTATGGACCCACAAGGCTTGACAGGCCAATCACCGTCCGGTGACCCTCAGCGCGACCGCCCTTTCCTCTTTAACCACGCTTTGCGGTCTTTCCCAAAAAATGTCTCGTTGGTTCATTCCTCCCCTCCGCCACTCGCTCTTTCCCCAGCGTCCAGAAACGAGGCCATAGCATCGTTCCTGCCTTGACCAGCTGTAAAATTACTACTGCCTGCAGTTTGGGCGGCATTGCGACGACGGCGAAAAATTAGGAAGGCCCCGACTCGGATCACGTACGACGGGCAAATTTCTTTCACTCTCACGACTCCGGATTTCCAAATAGCCTCCTCCTCTGACACTGCCAACGCACTTGTTTTTCTTAAGCGTCGCTTGGCCTTTTTCTCGTTTGTTTTGTACGCTCTTTTTTTTCGACAGCCTCCTTCCCCGTCCCCACTTCTCGCTCCTTCTCTCCTCCACATTCGAGTCAAATACTGTGCCTTTGGCTGCAATCGATTGGGACGACACATCAAACGTTCACTCCAGCGCTCAACGACACAACAGGCCATCGGAAGCCAGGTACCATATTTTCCGTTTCACCTTCAAATTGGGCGACGTTCCCACCGCCAGGCAGCATCGTTGGGCCCGTCACGACCCTGCTGTTCTGCCCCGATAGGCACAGAATCAACGTCATCCATTGGCAATCGCCAAATTCCCAACGGATTTTCCCCTGACGTCTCCAGCCCGTCGAACGCCCACAACGCCGCCCATCCGAACTTCAACACGTTGCAACGGCCCGGCGCGGACGGCAAATTGTGTACCGTTTCAATTAGGACCACCGTGTCCCTTTTTTGGCGAGATCGGCCGGCACTGCGACCCAGCAGTCGAGATTCGGGATCTGGGCGACAAAATATCGCTCTGACCGCCCACCCGAAGGCCGTCTGCCCCCTCCCGACCCTCCGTACATCCTCGTCAGATCAGAGGACATGTCTGACCAGGACACGTCCTTCGAAGCCCTCGCCGCCTCTCCCGGCGATTACGCCGTCCACTCTGAGTGGATGGGTGATTCCCCGCCCGCCTTGACCGTCGACTTCATCCAGAACCCTCACAACCAGATTCATCACATCCATCAAGTAGGCGGGAACCAGAATCCGCAAGCACATAAATCTCGGGGTTTCGACTCTGCCACCGCCGGCGGCCCCGGCTCCGGCAAACCAGGCATCGGCAAAGACCGGCTTTTGGCAGACGACCCATCGCTGGCGCTGTCACAACAGCAATCCATCTCCTCTCCCGAGTCCCTTTTGTCCTCTTTCCAGGACTCGTCCTCCGATATCTCTTCTTCCAAACAAACATCCTTGACGGCCTTGTCCAGCCTTGCTGGCGGAACACCAGCAAAAAAGAGCCGTGGGCGGTCGTCAAAGGGCTTCACCGTAACGAAGGCCTCGTCCAACCCCAGCCGCCCCGCGGGCGCCGCAGTACCAAATCCTGCAGCGCGGTTGCACCAACAGCAAACAGCATCTGTCGGAGACGACATTATGATGACGGATGAGGGGCTGCGTGCAGGTGACGACCTTGGCGACAGCACACAACAGAACTGGAGTTTCCGAGATTACCTGCGTCTGGACGACGACCAAGACGACGACGAGGACGACCATAACCAGTCTATGAACACAGAGAGCGACGGCTTTGCCACGATCGACCCCAAATCCATCCAGAATACCCCAGGATTCGGTGGTGCCGAGGACGCGTTAAACCAGGAAGCAGCTGCCGGTCTCCGCGCCAGTCTCAAGACAGAACCAACCGTCGGCTCGGACTTGAGCCCGTACAGCGGCGGGCCCTCTCCTCTGGAATTCGTGAGCGCAACGAGTAGCCCGACTCCCGACGACCTGACGATCCCCGCCTTCAACACGCCGCAGCTATTTTCTTCGGCGGTGGCCATGTTTGGCCAAGCGCCCACCGACAGTGCCACAGAACAGCGCCGCAAGGGGCACAACAAGGCAGCATCGGTAAGTTTATGCTACCAACGCTTATCTCCCTGTCTAGAATTTGCTCATGCACAACTTCGGTTGCTTTCTAACACAGCAGCAGCAATATTCTCTAAGCCAGTCTATGAACAACCTCAACACGGCCGCGTCGCGTGAAGTTTCACCCGTCTCCAACTTCGTTTTCGGCCAGGGCCCGTCGCCAACGGCATTTATGCAATCCTCGCAGTCGCCAATTGATTCCAACGATTTTCGATTTGGATTTTTGGGAAACGGTGGCGCCGATCCGATTCAGATGGCGTCCAACTTCCTGTTCCCGGACAGTATGCCCGCGAGCCCGACGTCAGGTTGGCAAGGGAATGTCCCTCAACAGCAGCAGCTTCTGAACAACGTAGCAGCACAGATGCCAGTGTTCCAACAAGGCCCGGCCGCTGCAACAGCAGCAGCAGCACCGTTGAACAACCAGCGACAACCGCTTCGATTCTCCGTCGGTATTGAGCCACACAAGTCACGCGTTGAGACACAGATTCCCGTCACGATTCTGCTGTCCTCCTTGCCACCGGACGTCACAAAGCTCCACCTACCACCCCACACCATCTCGAAACCCAAGCTGCTCGCGAAAAATGCACCGGAGCACTCACCCGACACACTTGAGCTGCACACCATGGTCGTTTGTACGAGCGCCATGGCGAACGAGGCCAACCGGCAACGTGCCCTTGAGCGTGCTGCCGCCTCTACGTATGGCCCTCAGGCGCGACCCAGTGATGACGCCAGTGGCGAGGGCGGTGACGACTGCCGTCCGGCGGACGGTGGTGAAGTCTGGATCTGCAGCGGCTGCATCCAGAGAGAGCGAAAACGCGCCAACCGTAAGAAGTCCAAGAAGCCAGAAGACGATGAGGGCTGGAGCCGTGACGAGCATCGGCGCATCATTATTTTCAACACGAACGAGATCAAGGACTGGCAGCACCCCACGGCGGCCACGAACATGGGCCCGCAGAGTGAAAATGCCGCCATTGTCATCCCAATGCGCATTACATGTTACTGCCGGCACCACGGCGAAAAAGCTGGCTTCCAGGTGATCTTCACGTTGAAAGATTGCCGCGGCCAGGTTTTGGCGCAGACGATCTCGCGGTCCATTATGATTACCGACGATCACAAGACACCAACTGCTGCATCTGCTGGAAGCGCCTCGGCAGCGCCCTCAGTCGTAGACGGTGATGCCTCGGCTGGCGATGTTGCAGACACATCGAAGACTTCTTCTGCCACAACAGTTGCACACGCATCCGGCACAAAAGCTGCTACCAAGACTGGCAAGAGCAATCGCACCTCCCAGTCGTCCTCCGACCCCTCTGCACTTAAACGCGGATCGGTTACATTCTCGGCTCCAGAAATCGACAAGGCAAGCAGCTCCAATGCAAACTCATACACCTCGGCTGCGGTTGCGGCCGCTGCCGCCGCCTCTTCTTCGGTAGCGGCGATGGCCCGGGCGCTCTCGAGACCAGCCTCGCCGGATGGGCTCAAGGGTCACTCAGCCAAAAAGCGGAAGTCGAGCGCTGGCGTCCCTGGCGCTCCGGGCGCCGCAAAGGTGCCATCGGGGCTTGCCATGACCCGTATCGAGACGTCCCCCCAACCACAACAGCCCACCCAGCAACACGTGTCCGACTCGGGAAGCCGTCATGCTGCCTCTTCTACGTCGCCGGTGGCACAATTCTCCAACAATTCTACGTTCTTGTCACCGCCGTCCGGATTTGTGCCTGATACAATGGCTGCGGCTGTCGACATGGCTCTCCGTGCCGGTGGCTCGGGCGACCCCGATATTGACAGCCTTGCTGGAATCGTCCCGATGAACGCGGATCCGATGCCAACCGGCCCGTTGACACCGAACAGCCACACCGACCAGACAGCCGCGTATATCAATGGCAACCGGTCGGGAAGCTTCGACAACATCGGTCTCTCGCAGACGCCCATGTTCTCAGCACCAACTTCAGCCCACCCGAGTCGCGCTCCGAGCCCTAACGGCCTCCGGGGTCCCATGCACATGTTCCAGCAGCAGCTCTTCCAACAGCAGCAGCAGCAATTACAACAGCAGTTGAACCAAGCACAGTTCTCCCAGCAGTTCCAGAACGGGCTTTTCTCGCTGCCTATGTCGCTACCTCAGACCGATACGACACCGACTTCGCAGCCGGTTGTGCACAAGATCATCCCGGCCGAGGGCCCCAAATCTGGTGGCATCGAGGTCACAATCTTGGGAAGCTCGTTCTACCAGGGTCTCGATGTCATGTTCGGTGACCAGCGCGCAACGACAACAACGTTCTGGGGTGAGAGCTCTTTGGTGTGTCTTGTGCCGCCATCGTCTATTGCCGGCCATGTTCCCGTCACGCTGCGCCAGTCAAACCAGCGTGGTTCGGCTCAGCCGTTCGCTGCCAATCAGCAGCGCATCACATTCAAGTATCTTGACGATGACGAACAACAACTTTTACGCGCCGCTCTTACTGTCTTATCTAGGAAGATGACTGGGAAGATTGAGGATGCGCAGGACGTGGCCCGACGGATCATCGGCAGCGAGACATCGACCTGGGGTACATCCGGTGGCGGAACCAGTGGTGGCAGTAGTGCCGGCAGCACCCGCGGCGTCTCGGGCAATGTGGCGGACCTGGCTTCCAGCACCGGTGGTCCCAACTTTGAGACGCATCTGCTCAAGGTTTTGGAACTGATCGACCTTGACGACTCGTCTAACCAGACGCGCCTGAATATGCAGCGCCGCACCACTGGCCACAGCATGCTGCACCTGGCCTGCGTTCTTGGTATGCACCGGTTTGTGGCTGGCCTGCTCGCCCGCGGCGCCAACCCCGATGTCCGTGACAACGGCGGCTACACCCCCCTGCACCTGGCCGCCCTCAACAACCAGCCCGAGATTGTGCGCCGCCTGATCCATGCCGGTGCCGACCCGACGATGCGCACGCTGTCCGGCCTGACGGCGTCGGAGGTCACAGCCTCACGCGAGGTGCTTCGTGCCATTAAGCGGTTTGAGCGCCACGCCCGGTCGCGCAGCGGCGGCTCCCTTCACAGCCGCACTAACAGCGCGGCTTCGCTACGGTCTCTGTGGGAGCCCATGAGCATGTCGACGATCCGCCGCCGTGCATCTGGCGCTGGTGAAGAGGTGGAGACGGGCGACTCGGAAGACAGCAGCCGTGCCGAGGTGGATTCCTCGTCATATGCCGCCTCTGGTGACGACGAGGCCAGTAATGAGCAAGAAGGCGACGTGGAATGGCTCGATATGCGGCCTGGCTCACGTGTCATGTCGCGGGGCTCTCTGAGCATCCATGGCCGACGCGGCGTCCGTGACACAAGTCCCGACCCCCTCGCGGCGTCAAATGCAGCTGCAGATGCGGCTGCCAGAGGAGACAATGTCCCCGCGGCACTGGCATCTCCGGCGGCCGCTGCCGTGTCTGCCTTCAAGGAACAGCTGTCAGCACACTTCCAGCAGCTCATAGCCCAGATCCCGCAGATCCCCAACAACCCGCTGCCCGACTACTACCAGGCCTACCTCAACTCGGCGGCTTTCCAGCGCATCTCATCGCTGGTTCCGAACATCAACATCAGCGGTGCCATGGGCTCGCGGCCCAACTCGTCAGGTAACTCGGAGGCTGGTGGTGCACCGGGCACCAAAGAATTTGAAGGCCGCTGGTGGGATCTGTCGTCGCGCATGACTGGCTCGGCACCGCCACCTGCCTACGAGGAGATCTTCCCGCAAAATAGTGGCGCTATGGACACGAAACAGGCAACGGCAGCCGCCGCAGCGGCCGAGGCTGAAGCCGACACTAAGTGCGCAGCGCTGTACGACAACCAGCAAGTCGAAGAACTCAAGCAGCAGGCCGCTGCCGCCAAGACTGCCACCACCACGCAGATCGAAGACAACGGTGGGGAGATTGACGACGACGAAGAGTGCCTGGCTTCGACGCCTGTTCTCCAGATCGGCCGCAAGCACCAGATTACCAAGGAACAGCAAGAGAACTTCCGGCGCGTTCATAAGGAGAAGCGCAAGGGCCTGAGTTCTGACACGTTCCTGTACACTGTCTGGGTACGTATTCTTATGTCTTTTACTCTTTTGGGGTCTTCGCTTGGCCATTACATTATTCAGCCTAGACACTCTACTAACATTCTAACAACAGATTCCGATCCTCCTCGGCGTACTGCTTCTGTGGCTCTCTGGCGCCCGTGCTTGGGACTTTTTCCCATCTGTCACCTTCAACGTGCCGTACGCAACCAGCCTCAGCAACCCTATCCGTCCTACCAGCACGAATGTTGACAACAGCAACAAAGACAAAGACAATGTAGCTGGCGATAAGCAAATATTACCTGACCCTCCCGCTATGGCCGCGATTCCCAACAATGACGCACAAGACGTCCTCGGAGGGATCCACGGCATCGTCGTATAATCTCGTTGGCATGTTTCGACTCCACCGCAGGTCTGCCGATCTATTTCTACAATATTTGTTTTATCACCCCTGCCTACACATTCTTCCTCTTTCACGACTGCATCACTATTCTTCATCTTTTCACTTGTTTTTTCTTGGGAAATGGATAACTACATGGTCGCTCATCCTGGTCTTGATTTTGCTTTGCGCAGTTGATTTTTAACTTTCTTACGCTTTGTTGCTTGTCTTTTTTTTCACCTTTCGTTTGTGAACTCCCTTGATTTTGGCCCAGCGGCGTCGGCTGTATGTAGTACGTACGACTCTATTTTGTGCACTGTTTTTGGGGTTTTATTTTATTCTCTTGTATTGAGGCAGAAGGTTGAAGATCAGGGCCCTCATTTTCATTTTTATTATTACTATTCTATCGGGCTAGATTCTTTTAAATATCAACGAAGAAAAGGCTTGTTGCCTTTTTCTCACTTTATTTTTATTTTTTATTTTTTATTTTTTGTGCTGGTACGAGTCTTGTGTGCTCTTGGTACAATGCACTGTTTGGTATCTTCAAACTTGACTTTAACTACTCTGTATGAGTCAAGCTCATGCCATGGTGTTGATCTCATTTATTCCATGGAATTTTCATGAAAATTTATTGCTTGCCGTGAGAAAGCCCGTGACAGTGTGAATGAGAATCAATCCGGGTCTCGTTACGAGTTTTGAGTATCATAGTGGTAATAGGACAATTCAAGCCTTTACATCGTAAAGTCAAGACCACATTGAGAAATCTCATGTATAGTTTTCGTACGTAGAATTAATTATGTAAATAAAACAATAAGCTAGCGATCCACAAATCCAGACAACCGCCATAAACAAGATATTCCTTGCTCTTCTGTCCAGATGCCATTTTATTTTGTACTCCGGAATCCTCCCACCAATGACGTTGAAGAAACAAGTACAATGCAGTCCTCTCTTATAGGAGAAGCGACTGAAACTCCTCAATCCTCCCACTGATAAAACTTGAACGGTCCTTCAAGCAAAACGAAACACAAAACAGAAGGCTCAACATGTTACGAGGGCGTCATGCTGCCACAAACAGAGAGAGAGCAAAATACAATGAGAATGACGAAAAGAAAAGAAACCCCGCAAAACGAATAGTGTTTACTCGGGCGCAGGGAACTGGAAGCCAGGCGGGAAGACAGGCATGCCGTTGGCTCCCATGGTCAGGCCAAAGGGAAAGCCAGCTGGTGGTGCCGCGCCGTTGCCATTGTTGATTTTGCTGTCGCCCGGGCCGCCGCCGCCGCCATAGTTCAGCTCGTCACCAGCACCGCTGCCGTTGCCACGACGGTCGTAACTACCGCGATCGTTTCTATCGCCGCGGTAGTCACCACGCCGGCCACCCCGCGGGTTGATGGGCACGGAGTTAGCGTTGGCCATTTCCTCCTCACGACGGGTGGAGCGCGGGCCGTTGACGCCGCCGCGGTCGGTCTGCATGCGGCGGCTGATGGCTTTGGACGATACGCCGGCACCAATCTCAATGTCGGGCTCTTCGACGACGAGGCCAGTAGCGATCGGGCGGCCGCCACTGCCACCCCAGGGGGCGGTCAGGAGCCACTTGCGGTCGGCCTCGGTGAGCTTCGTGATCGGGATGATGCTGACACCCTTGGAGTAATCGCTGCAGTCGCGAGGGCCGAAACCGACGCCCCAGCGCGTGCGCAGGCCGAGGTCATCGGCGCCGCGGGAATGCTCCATGCCGTCTTTTGCGGCCTCGGCGTCAGCGCGCGTGTACATCTTGACAAAAGCGTGGCGCTTCTCCTTGTTGACAATGCAGGTCTGGACGTCACCAAAGCGGGTGAAAATAGCACGCAGCTCCGACTCCGGGATATTGACGCCACCAACAAAGAGCGTCCGGCTCAGCACACGGATCGTATTCTCGGGCAGGGACGGGTCGTGCTCGACAAACTTGGAGCCGGGCGAAGGGGGCTCGGGGTTGCGCGGGCTGCGCCGACCACCACCAGGAGGCGAGCGCTGACGGTAGTCACGGCCGCCGCCGTGCCCATGGTGGTCGCGTCCACGCGGCGAACTACGCCCATCCCAGTGTCTGCCAGGCGAGCGAGACCGAGACCGACCACGGCCAGGAGAGCGCCCGCCATAGTTGTTTGGGGGCCACTGCGGCGCAGCCTGTGCAGCACCGCCCGCGCCTGCAGCGGCAGCGGCGGCCGCAATAGCTGATGGGACGAGCGAGGGAGGGCCACCGGTGGCGGGTGCGCCGTTACCAACCTGGGCCAAGATGCCCGAGATCTGGTCCAGAGAAAGGCCCTGAGCCAGGAGAGCCTGGATAAACATCAGATTCTGCTGAACGTTGGGCGCAGCGCCAGGCTGCGGCTGCGGCTGTGGCGGCGGTGGTTGATGCGGCTGCTGCTGAGACGCGGCGCCAATGAGGCCGGCCAAACCGGCGAGGGCTGGCGGCAGTTGGGAGTTGGGGGCGGTTGCACCGGGGAGAGCGCCGGAAGCACCATACGGGCCCGGAAACGGGGTCTGCTGTTGCTGCTGCTGTGCCGGGGGCATCTGGAAAGGAGGGGGCTGCTGGCCATACTGTTGTGGTGGCTGAGCCGGCGGCTGTTGCTGCTGCTGGCCAAAGGGAGCTGCCAGTGTCGGCGGCGTGGCCGTCGCGGGCAGCGGTGCCGCGGCAGATGAGCTCTGCTTGGCCAAGTTGGCGAGAGTCTCCATAATGTTCGGTGGAAGGGCCGGAGGACCAGCAGGCGCTGCAGGTTTGGCGGCGCCTTGGGTCAGGACATTGGGAGGCGGGCTACCCGGCGGCGTCGTTGAGACATCTATAAAAGCAAACGGATGCGTTAGGTCGTCGCTCGTACGAGGTAAGGACGTGGTGAGCTGCAAACGGGAGGCGACCTACTGGATGCTGAAGCATTGAGCTTCTCCTTGAAAGATTCAATCAGCTGGGGAGAGAACGTCTGGCCCTTTTCCCAGATATCGACGAGCTTCTTGATTTTGTCCTACACGCAACGACGGGCGAATGTGAGTATGTGAACGAGGAAAAAGGACCAAAACAAAAGCGGCGAAACAAAATACGAAGCACAAAGGCAGACAGAAATGTGTGAGAAAATACGTCAAAATACGACGCACGAAATGCAATACGCGTGAGAGACGGCACTAGAGACACGAGACGGGATGCGAGTGCGAACAGGCAAGCTATCTCGCCATCTCGCCAGACGAATGGCGAGCAAAAAGAGGAATACGACAGCAAACGCAGCAAGTAGTACGTTTGTCGTCTCGGCAAGCTGCAGATGCAGTTTACATTTGCAACCATCTGTCCTCGACAGCAGGATGCAATCAATAGCCATCTGTGGGCAGCAGCAAACGGAGCAACGGGCCCTGTGGTCTCTGTGGTCGTTTGCCAGTTACTGGACGAAGCTACTCCTCGTCGCGTCTTTTCTCATGTCTCTCTGTTATCTCGTCCCCGTCCATTTGCTGTGTCATGGACGACGTTGTAAATATCAAAACTGTGACGTCTCAATGGGCTTACCTTCTGGTCAGCTGGGGCTGTCGACAGGATGTCGGTCATCAGCACCGGAATCAGCTCGGTTACTCTATTCACGCCTGCAGCATAGGTGCCGTCCGGGGCAGACCCGTTGACGGCCTGGCCCTGCTGCCGGGCCTGGTCCAACCACTTGCGGGTTACAGAATCTACGACATAGAGCACGCCGAGCTTGTGCGTGCCCGGCGTCTTCTTGAAGTGTGTGTATAGCTTTTGGATGAGGACGGATTCGGACTGGACAAGACGAACAAAAAAGTATGTGTCAGTAACTGGAGCGGTGACAAGGCAAAGACAAAGTCATAAAAAGCGTTCATAAGCATGACTGCATAAGACACAAGACGGCTGGAATAGAATTACCTGGACGTTGGCGACACACAGTGCCGTCAGGGATGTGATGCGTGACCCAGAGACGCCCGGCGGCTTGAGGCCCTGCATGGCCTGCAGGCCAGCCTCGAGCTCGGCCACTGGTGATGCCATGGCTCGGTGACGTGGGTGTGGGTTCTGTAAAGGTAGGTGTAGCTGTGGGCGTGGGGGGTGGCTGTCGTCGTTGGCAGACAGCGTCAAACGCCCGGCCGTAGTCTGCAGGTCTGCCTAATGCAGATACGTGCAGCAAACGGCTGGCGGTGAGAATATACGCGAGGTCGATCTGAGCCTCGGGAGCCTTTCTCAACTCGGTCGGTAGACGTCGAGGATACAGGTCTCAAGAATTTTGTCTTCGTAATAACGCTCGGGGGGATTCTTTGTCCCAATGATTTATGGCTTTTGAAGTCGCCGTGTCCAACGCCCCGTCTCTCTAATGCGCAAATAGTTCGCTGCGAGGTGCCAGTGCACAGATGCCACTCGTTTCTCCTGTTTCTCACGGATCCTGGCCAAGCCCGGTTACAGGCCCTCAGAATGCAGTTTACTGTAGCGGAGCTAGTAGCAAAACGCCAAGATGCACCTCTTGGCCTCTGGCCAATTTTTGTCTGTTCAGCGGTACAAAGCAACACAGCTAGAATTGTACGGGGGCCACAGAGATGCAGTGCCAAAGCTGCTTGCCCAAAATGTCAAAGCAGCCAACAAGTGGCAGAAGCTAGATTGTCGTTGGCGATGATCAGGCTTATGGAGCAAATTGTGCTGCCAGTTACGTCGTCAAGTTGCGCGGGCCACGAGAGCAAAACGGATGTTGCCTGGGGCCGTCGACGCTGGTACGTTATTTGAGTCGGGCTGATTTAGTTCTAGACGTTCTGGCCGATGTCGAGACCAACAACGATGACAGAGACCGATGGGTGTGATGATGGAATACTGAGGGTGAAAACGTGGGAGGCAAAAGGGAGAAGAAAAGGGGGAAAACTGGTGCTTCTCAAAATAGCAGGCCTACAGAGGGCGATGCGGATGGCCGACAACGTTCAAAATGACCACTGAGAGGATCTAAATACGCAAGACAAAGTAGAAATTATCGCTATTACAGTGTCGCAGACAGTTGCCGATGGTTGTCGATGGTTGTTGATGAAAAAGACGGAGAGGCGTGATGGCGATGGCAAAAAAGTGTTTGGGAAGAGGGAGAGTTTTCGGGCTGAGCAACAGCAAACAGAGAAGGTGGCGGGGGAAGAAAACCTTTCATGCCGGCAGACTGCCAGTTAAATCACGTGACTTTATTTCTCGATTAGTCATCTTTTAGGTTTGCCGTTGCCTTACGTCCGAATGCGACTAACTCGGCTTTCGCGAGGCTATTCGCATCGCAGCCGAACGCTGGCCTGCGAGTGGGTGTGTTGAATAACGCCTGCAATGCCAGCGAGGAACTGAAGAGACCCACTGCCAGCTACAGTACGGGTATCTTCACTACGACGAAGTGCTCGGTTTGCTTGTTGCCTTGCTCTTGCCTTATGGCATCCTCTTCTCGAAGGCGTGGCAGAGAAGCTATAAAGCAGCAGAAACTTTTGAAGAACAGCACACACGATTGCAAGTCGTCTGACGTCAATGCCTACCCGGTGACACTCACCATCGCTGGTGCCATTGTCGCGAGCCGAATGGCGCGGACACGGCCTATTGGCCCTCCAATAACGACCGCCAGCCAGCGCTTTCAGGGGCAATTTGCGTAGTAGTACTTGATTGCCATGTTGCGTTTTCCCGGAACCGTGAAGTGTAAAGACTTGTCTCGCATGCGAAAGGACATACGGGTGGAGTGGGTGTGTGGGTAGTAGTTGAATAACCATCTTGACAATCACAGCAAACTCGGCTCCGTAGATGCTCCGCAACTCGCTCCCTGGTCCGAAGCTGGCGCCTTCCTCCCGCGCCACCTGACCACGGACAGTCCAGAGAGGGCAGTCGTGGAAAGCCCATCGTGATACAAGACACATGGATTCGTGGCCGGGGATTCGGGGAAGCTGCGACTAACACGGAAAACACTGAAGAAATCGGAAAGATGGATAGGGCTCGCGCTTTGTCTGGCAGCGCGATTCGCTACTTCGCTCCTGCCATCCGTTGTGTTGACAGTCGCTCATAGCGGCTGCTCGTCCAAAGTAGTGTCCGTCGATGGCTTTTCAGTGGCTACAGGCGCCGTCATTCTCTTTTCCAGTCCCTATGCTAACTTTTACGCCCCTCTCTTTTGCTCCTTAGCGTGTCCCCTGAAGTCCGGAAAGGCCAGGCCCCATTTTTATTTTATTTTACCACTCACCTCTGCGACAGAGCTACAACACTTGCGGCCTTTTTGTGTGTTGCAGTGTCGTTCATTATGAGCGACAGGTGGGGGGGGGGTGTTTTCGTGTTGAATTTTTTTTTTCTCTTCTGATTCTTGACCCAACGACGCTCTGGGCCAGCCGTCCCTTCCTTGCCTTGTTCCTGCTGTCTATACTACTCAGGCCCGGGCCTGGCAGGAACAACACAACAGTTCACGCCCCTCCACCTTCCGAGTATCCCCTTTTCCCTAGCGTTTCCAGCACTTTCCCGTGCTGGACAAAAAAAAAGTGGCCTAAAAACCTGCCGCTTCCCTTTTATCCCTCGACCTCTTGCTTTGAAGCTTGCTCTCTTTTCCCTCCCTCCCTCCTCTCACGAACCAACACCTCCTCTTTTACCCTCACAACAAACAAACACACAACCGTCACAATGGCTTCCGCTATGCGCCTGAGCTCAAGTGCTTTCCGCACTTCCCTCCGGGCGTCTTCCGCTTTCGGCGCCCGCTCCACGGCCTTCAACGCCGCTCGCTGCTACTCCGCCAAGGCCCAGGTACGTTGGCAATGGTCGGCGGTTCCGACGGGCGCATTGGTGCCCATGGCCGGTCGTCGGTGACAATTGGGTGCCGACGGCTGCGAGAAAACGAAAAACGGCTGACCGAGATTCCAAAATACAGACCCTGAAGGAGCGCTTTGCCGAGCTGCTACCCGGCAAGATCGAGGAGATCAAGGCCCTCCGCAAGTACGTGTCTCCTTTGTCGCTCGCATCGCGCCGGATGCTTGTAAAGCCCGCGAAATTTATACGCAAACACACACACACACACACTTACACCTACTGACAATGGCTGTCTAGGGAGAGCGGCTCCAAGGTCATCGACCAGGTCACCCTCGACCAGGTCTATGGCGGTGCCCGCGGCATCAAGGCCCTCGTCTGGGAGGGCTCCGTCCTGGACGCCCAGGAGGGTATCCGCTTCCGCGGCAAGACCATCCCCGAGTGCCGTGAGGTCCTCCCCAAGGCCCCCGGTGGCACCGAGCCCCTGCCTGAGGGTCTCTTCTGGCTGCTGCTGACCGGCGAGGTCCCGACCGAGCAGCAGGTGCGCGACCTGTCGGCCGAGTGGGCTGCCCGCTCGGATGTGCCCAAGTTCGTCGAGGAGCTGATCGACCGCTGCCCCACGGACCTGCACCCCATGGCCCAGCTGTCGCTGGCCGTCACCGCCCTCGAGCAGACGTCGTCGTTCGCCAAGGCCTACGCCAAGGGCATCAACAAGAAGGAGTACTGGGGCTACACCTACGAGGACTCGATGGACCTGATTGCCAAGCTGCCCACCATTGCCGCCCGCATCTACCAGAACGTCTTCAAGGGCGCCAAGGTTGCCGCTGTTGAGAAGGACAAGGACTACGGCTACAACTTTGCCAACCAGCTCGGCTTCGGCGGCAACGCCGACTTTGTCGAGATGCTGCGCCTGTACCTGACCATCCACTCCGACCACGAGGGCGGCAACGTCTCGGCCCACACCACCCACCTGGTCGGCAGCGCCCTGAGCTCGCCCTTTTTGTCCCTGGCCGCCGGCCTCAACGGCCTGGCCGGTCCCCTGCACGGCCTGGCCAACCAGGAGGTGCTGAACTGGCTGCAGGAGATGCAGAAGTCGATTGGCGGCGACATCAGCGACGCCAAGATCACCGAGTACCTGTGGTCGACGCTCAACAGCGGCCGCGTCGTGCCTGGCTACGGCCACGCCGTCCTGCGCAAGACGGACCCCCGCTACACCGCCCAGCGCGAGTTCGCCCTGGCCAAGATGCCCGAGGACCCCTTGTTCAAGCTGGTCAGCCAGGTCTACAAGATCGCCCCCGGCGTCCTGACCGAGCACGGCAAGACCAAGAACCCCTACCCCAACGTCGACGCCCACTCGGGTGTTCTGCTGCAGTACTACGGCCTGACCGAGTCGAGCTACTACACCGTCCTGTTCGGTGTGTCTCGCGCCCTGGGCGTGCTGCCCCAGCTGATCATCGACCGCGCCGTCGGTGCCCCCATTGAGCGCCCCAAGTCCTTCTCCACCGAGAAGTACATTGAGCTCGTCAAGAAGCTGTAGAGCACTGTCTCTCTTTGTGTTTTTTTTGGCTTATATTTCACAAAAAAATAGCGAGTTTAAATTGTCGGTGTGATCATACGGGGGAAAGAATCCACGTTTGATGCAGGGGTGTTTTTGTGTGTATTTGGTGGCACACGCGGGCGTGCGGGCGCGTGTGCGCCCAGGGTTCTGTCTTCGCATGTATCTCCCCCCTTGTATGTGCCCGAAGGGAGGTCCGTCTGTTGTTGGCCGGCGCATGTCCTTTGTGGCATGTTCTGGTGATACCTGGGCGGAAAAGCTTAAATTGTAATTTTTTACCCTCTCCTTTTCTAGACTAGAATAGACACTTGTGATGAATGGACGACGGAAACGGGAGGGGACGGTATGGAGTACATACCCTACGGGACCTGTTCACGGATGTCGCGCTCACATTTTCTTACCTTTTGTGTTTCCCCTCCGATGGACATTGATTTCTCTGGCCCAGAATTTACCAATCTCAACTTTCTTCACAACCATTCTATTACTCAGAACCAATGACGATGCAGCGTCAAGAAGAACCCAGTGCCGTAGGTTTCAGAGTGCCTGTGCAAATTAAAATCATTTGCGAATCTACACACAAATATGAAGTAGTCCGTTCAAAGGGGTCACGTAACTGATCGTCGCTCCGGAGTCGTAAGACGCAAAGAACGGTAGGCCACGGAGAGGGCTGCAGCTTTTGTGCTTTGCGCCTTCGGAATGCAAGACGAAAACACACAAACCCAAAAAAACGAGTTTACCCCAAATATACATCCGTAAATGACAATGTACTCCACGGCCAATTCGACAAGCAGCTTTGCCAGCCGTTTTATTTTTGGGTGCGGAGAAGGTCTTGGTCTGCCGTCCACAAGTCCAAGCAAGACAGAATGGTGAAAAGTCCGTACGGCGACGCCATGAAGCTCCAAAAGCAAAAGCCCTAGCTTTTGGGTACCTCAACAAAACCTTGAGCAGTTGATGGCTGGATCAAATGCACACCAGGGCCAATGGAGGTGACAAACTCGGCCCATCCACAACTACAACTTAGTTAAGACACAAGAAGCACGTCTGTCCTTGCGAATGTCGCACCTTTGTCATGGACGCCTTGGCAGTGTGCCTACTGCAACGCCACCGTCCTGATTTGAGTGCACAAAATTCCCAGGTCTGTTCTGTTTTCGGGGTTGGAAACATGAGTTACGAGGCTGTCGTTGCTGTTGAGGACAACGTGCCAGTCGCATCCCTAACTTTTTATTGGGGAACAGGACGAAGTACGTTCGAAAGTGACGTTTGTTGGGTAAAAAAGGCGGGGCAGGTGCCAAAGACGGGACACTAAAAGGGAAGCCACGGAAGGTACGTATACGTAGAACTTTCCCGGTTTCCCACTGTAAAGCTAAGTTTGTCCAGCAACCCAACAAACGAAGCAACGCTTTTCCACGCTTTTTTGGCCACCCTCGGTGTCTTTACCCCAATGGGCCAGCCAAGCAACTGAACTGGTGCCGTCGATTTGGGTTGTGCCAACCGCCCAGCATCTTTCACACCGTAAACTTACAATTTGTGACACAATGCTCGTCCCATTCGTGGCAAGTGCGTTCCTTCTCCCTGCGATATTCGTAAAAGAGACGGTTTGCCATCAAAAGAGGAAAGACCTTAACACAGACAAGAGAAGGAGCAATGCAAAGAATAGAGCGAACAATTTACGCAGCCAGCTTGTTGCCTCCTTTGGATCGCGCCTTCCCGTGTTAACTTGTAGGACTTTTGCACTCGGTCTCGGCCAGACAGAAAGAACGAAAGTAAAGGGGATGCCTCCTTCCCCCTTTTTTTCGACCCCTTCTATCCAGTGTCTCACCGTCTTTTATTCAGTCGTCAGACATTCCAATCTTCCCCATAAGCCTCACAACATTCTCGGTTTCCTTCTGTTCTTACTTCACATCGCGCCTGTCCGTAACCTGCAACCTGCACACTTGCAATTCCCCCATCTGCTTCTTCCGAAACGGACATACATTACCCTTTCGAACAGCATCGCACGAGCTACCTAGCATCGCCTGGGCTCCTCCAAGTTTGTAAGTGTCGCTCTCTCTTTGGGCCGTCTTGTCAGCCACTCTCTGGGCAGTTTTCCTCTCATTCCCTTCCCTTTCCTTCGTTGGCAAAAGCACGTCGGCAGCATGCCAAAGGCTGCCAAACGGAATCCCATAGCGATGCCCTACCCGCAACGGCCGAGCTCGTCTGCTGGCTGCTCTCTTCTCCAACAAGGCGAGGGGCCGTTGGACATTGCAGAGATCTCTCCGTCGCAACAGCCCTCTCCGCTCGATCACCTCCGCATCTCTATTCTATTGTCGGTCTTCAGAGTGCAGCCCTTCACCAGGACCATTCGAGGCTTGTTTGGAGCGCCACTTAGGCACTGGGCTCTGCTTATCCTTACGGATTTCGTGTTTGATGGCTCAGAAAGCTTACTTCTTGTGCTCCCCGTTACTTCTGATTGGGCCTCCGCCACGGAACTAAAATTCGTCGCCCTGTCTTTGCCCCTTGGAAGCCGCGGATTGTTCCTAGTCATCAGAAGAGATGACACCGCAGGGTCCCAGCGACGTTCGGTGACACGTGCTAATGATATCGCCTGCGGACCTTCTGTCGCCACGACCTAACATCTCACTGGCTTATCCCACCACCACCTGTTCTCCTGTTTACTGAGTATTACTGTCCACCCCACACCGCTAACATGAACTCTGCCCCAGCACTCAGCAGCTCCGTTTCTTCCTCGGCTTATCATCAACTGCCCAGAGACGGCCCCTCGTCCCCCACGAAATTCCGAACGATAACGATCTGACCCTGATTCGCAAGGCCTTTTTTCACCACCAATCACCCAGGGTCGCCCAAAAAGCCCTCAAGCTCCAACAACCGCGTCCACTCTCCAGCGCTTTCCTTCCCTAGCCATATATCATATATCCTCGGTCGTAGGATAGTCCGACCCGCTACCAGCATCAGAAGCAGCGTCTCCGCTACCCCAAACTTTACTCCCCCCCCCCCCCAAATTAGCAAAGAAGCGCCCTCTTGCCTTGGTCAGGCCCGTCTTGTTTTGAACATCACGATTGTTCGAAACAACTTCCTCGACGTTTTTCAAACTTTGCGCTTTCTCCCCTCCCTTCAAACATTCACCATGTCGTCCGCATCCATTGTTGCCGCTCCCGCGGCCCCGCAGAAGCTTGAGAAGAAGCCTATCAAGTTCTCTAACTTGCTTCTCGGCGCCGGCCTCAACCTGTTCGAGGTCACCACCCTGGGCCAGCCGCTCGAGGTGACCAAGACCACCATGGCCGCCCACCGTGGTGACCGCTTCGCCTCTGCTATCGGCCGCATCTGGAGCCGTGGTGGTATTCTTGGCTGTACGTATTCTTTTTGTTCTTCTTTTGTGTTTTGATCGCAATTTGCTTCGTTTTCTGTGCTCTCGCGCCCTGTGTCACATGCCAATTGTCAGCGCTGACACTCATTTTTTCTTCCCGCCTTTCACAGTCTACCAAGGTCTGATCCCCTGGGCATGGATTGAGGCTTCCACCAAGGGCGCCGTCCTTCTCTTCGTCGCCTCCGAGGCCGAGTACTACGCCCGCGCCGCTGGCGGCTCCGAGTTCGTCGGTGGTATTGCCGGTGGCGTCGCTGGTGGTGTCGCGCAGGCCTATGCTACCATGGGCTTCTGCACGTGCATGAAGACGGTTGAGATCACCAAGAGCAAGGCTGCCGCCGCCGGTCAGGCTACCCAGGGCACCTGGGCCACGTTTATGGACATCTACCGCCGCGAGGGTATTCGCGGTATCAACCGTGGTGTCAACGCCGTCGCCATTCGCCAGATGACCAACTGGGGTTCGCGCTTTGGCCTGTCGCGTCTGGCTGAGCAGGGCATCCGCAAAGTCTCCGGCAAGAACGAAACCGAGAAGCTGGCCGCCTGGGAGAAGATCCTGGCCAGCTCTCTGGGTGGCGGTCTGTCTGCTTGGAACCAGCCCATCGAGGTCATCCGTGTCGAGATGCAGTCCAAGAAGGACGACCCCAACCGCCCCAAGAAGATGACCGTCGGCAACACCTTCAAGTACATTTACGACACCAACGGCATCCGCGGCCTGTATCGTGGCCTGACCCCGCGCATTGGTCTCGGCATCTGGCAGACCATCTGCATGGTGGCCATGGGTGACATGGCGAAGACCTACGTCGAGAAGCTGACCGGTGAGAAGGTCACTGCGAAGCACTAAGCAACCCAGGGCCGCACGCCACACGCCGCACGCACCGAGTCTCTTCCACGCGCACAATCTCATCCTGACTTGCCGCACTACAAATCTCTTGTTTTTGACGCCAATCTGACTTTGCTCCTTTTACGTTCCTTAGTCGTCGCCATCCAACAACATCCACCTACGTAAAAACGTAGGCGAGGCACGACCGTACCGAAGAGAAAACGAGAAGAAAAACACAGACAGATGAAGAGGACATGATACCCGAGGCAAATGAGTGGAGAGAAAGTCATCGGGGCGAGTGTCGCAAACCAACCTCCACAAACAAAAACCATATCAGCGTTTAATACCAGGCGCGCCAGCGACTTTTGAGCATTTGTGCCATTTTTGCTATTGTGTTTCTTGTTTTATATCGCCAGCTTGCAGAGGGAACTGAAAGACTGTAAATGTCCCAAGGGCCTAAGGAAAGGAGAGGAGAATTATGAAAAGGAAAGAAAATTTCATCACAGACTTTTACTTGTTTCTGACGTTCAAAAGCACCACCAGCTTCAAACCGGAAAACCAAACGGAAATGGGTGGCCAAAGGGTACGGCGGTGTGATATATAGAAAAAGTATTCTTGATAACTTTATAGACTTGTTTAATATTCTTGGTTTTACAAATCACTACACTTCTTGGAACCCGGTATCATTATACATTAATATTGTCTATCCATCAATCGGCCCTCTGCCCAGCCGTTGCCTCCAGTAATATATCTCGGATGAAGCCCGCAACCAAACCATCACATCATTCCGCTTCACCTGCAAGACACAATTGCTTTCAATCGTCAACTCAAGTCGAAAACCAATAAACACAATCCGAATACGCCGCGCAAAAACTATGCTCTACATGTAGTATATGGAAACCAAACAAAAGCAGAAAGACACAACGACCCAGATCGACGTTTTTTGTTTTCCATTCATGTCGTCCTCTTGTCTTCTTCATCCTCGCCGTAAAAAACGTCCTCTCTGCCGCGACGGATCGAGTACTTCTGGACCCGGGCATCCACACCGACAAAGAGACTCGTGCCTTCGTGCGGCAGGGAAGCAAAGCTTAGGGCCGCAATGTGCGGCCGTGTGTGCTTGTAACCACCCCGTGTGACTCGAGTATCAGGGTGGACGTCGCTGTCGCCCACAACTGTAAAGGGCGCTCGCGCTTCCTCCGTTTCCTCCATCGAAATACTCTGGCCCAAACTCAACCGTTGATTCACATTGTCCGGCGTGGGCCTGTAGACGCGGTCAATATCGCTTGGGTGGTGTTGCACGCGCCAGAGACCTGGCGCGTGCAGACGCTCGCCATTCCACAAGGAAAAGAGCCCCAGCCCGCCTTGGAGTCCCGAGGCCGTCGACTTGTGATCTTCCGCGGCAGCAACAATGCCCAGATTGGTGTCCACGTCGAAGCCAATGCCCATGAGTCGGCCGTGGTTGTAGTAGTCAGAGTAGCGGAACAATGGCTCGGCAGCTGGACTTCCGGCACGCTTTCTGTCAACAAGTGACGTCCTGCCACTGCTGCTTCTTGGCGTCTTTAAATACCGCAAGTCGTACATGACCATGGCGTCCCATAGGCCAGCAGCAACCACGTGGTATTCGCCAACGGAGCGGATGTGTGCGACAGCATTTGGGCTATTGCCGAGTGCATTGGCATTCGTGCCAAATGGGCGCCACGACGGCTCACGCAAGTCCACAATCCACGGCACTGGGTTGCGACCGCCAGCCACGGCAAGGCGCGGGTGGTTGTTGACAAAGTCCACGCAGGTGATTAGGCTTGGTTGGGATCGTTCTGGTCGCCTCTGGCTCGAAGTGACTGTCCCCAGATGTCTTTGCCGATGCATGAACAGCCCATTTGGTGGGAAGCAGCGTATGTCGTCACCATCTATCGGAATATGTACTCGATCATTGTGATTTGCAGGAGGAGGTATAAAATAGCGCACGTTAACGTCAGTAAGGCGTGTGACGGTTTCAATGTCGATGGCGCGCAAGCCATCTCCTGTCCCAACCAGGCACAGTGCATCGTGGCCTCGAGGCGACGGAGAACAGGCGTACACGGAATCGACAGTACGCTTGCCAAAGATCTTGAAAACAGGTTTGTTGGTATTCAGTGGCAGTGAACGTGTCGGCGTCATGATATCTAGTTACAAAGACAAAATAGCCCAGTTAGAATAAATGGTGGAGATAAATAAAGTCGGCGTGTACAAGGGTCCGCCTCAGCGCGTTGCCTGGACTCACTGGGAAGGCTGTCTGGGCCGAGTTGCCAGGTGACATCGTCGGAGAGCGAAGTTTCGTCTCTGATATCCGGCTTAAAAAACTGCAGAACAGGAGCCTCCGCTTCCCACTGGAGGTGTGGGGTACAAGAGGTGACAATCAAGTTTTGAGAGGCCTCGTGGAATCCAATAGTCGTTATACCTGTCGCCCGTATGCCTTCGGGGCATGTGCGTTCATGCGCGGCATATCTGCCGAACGGGGACCGCGTTGGCCAGGAACTCACAACGCTATCAGAAAAAAGAACATTTAGTAGCAACACCTAAAAGCAGCACCTTGGGTCTCGGTTCTGTTCAAGATATACAACACACCTTTCGTTCTCGTCGACCATGACATACTGTCCCTTGATCGTGCTATTGTTGCCAGTGGAATAGTCTGTGGTGATATTAGCAACGCAGCCACGGAAGCGCACCAGGGGGCCGTTTTTATTCTTATTTTTATTCTTTTTTCTTTTTGTAAACTGACCTGTATAGACAATGCCCAGGCCTGGAGGTTGCTCGTTGCCGTGCACGTACATCGCTCTGATTTTTGTCGCAGCCAGGACCGGAGGCTGACCTATGGCCGCAGAGAACGGCCGGGCCATTCTCCGCTCCGGGTTGGTTCCAAGAGTTGCCCACGCATGTCGCGACAACCGGTTAAAATTATCAACCTCAATCAACATGCCACTGGCCTCGTTTAGAACCGGTACGGCGCCCTTGAACTGCAACTCGCGAGCAAAGATGGACGTTGCAGTAGTCGCATGTGTTTGACCAAATGTGCGGCCGTCGCTGGCCGTAGCACTGCAAGGAAGCCCAGTCACGGCCGCCTCGTGAGCAAGAAGAGGGTCCCGGATAAAGAGACGCTTCTTCTCTTCCACATACACAGCATCGTCGACTTCGTCATCACCGGTGCTGTGTCGTGCAAGGAAATCGTATATTGCATCTGGCGGCTGCCGCGTGAGCGACCCGCGTGTCGACTCGCCACGCTTGGACTCTTCAAAACGTCGGCCCTTTTGCCGTTTGGGCCATTTCCCCCCGCGTCCATGCAAGCGTCCTTCGCTGCCTTCATGCCGGCGGCGACGTTGCTCGACGTACTTCTCCCGGACCTGCTGAAATTGCACCTGCTCCTGAGACCAAGCTGCGCCCTCTGGAGCTGTGCCGGTTGCTTCAATCTTAAAAAATTTGCCTCTGGCCTCATCTAAGCCGGTCAGTGTCAGCAATCTTTGATGTCAAGCGGCCATAAACACTTAAAATTCGGTATCGGCGAGACTCACCCCAATAGTGACCGGGAAATGCAAAGGGAGCCGGCATGGTGATCGACGACAGTGCAGGCGGCGCTTGGTCGTCTTGGCCGTCGAGAGCCACTTCAAGTCATATCGAACGGCCGGCAACAGAACTCTGCAGAGGATGTGGTTCTATATCTTGGACAACGTAAGAAATAATACGTCTCGAACAACACGAACCAAGACGGAGCCAAGATATGTTTTAACCTTCCATGTACATCGTCTAAAGGCAAGTGCCATTTTCAACAGAACGAGAAAGACTCAACCGCTGGGCCAACACTGGCATATTGCAAAATATAGCGGTCGGCTTTAGCAGTAGTCTATAGCATCACGTGATATTTCCAAAAGCACTAAAACACACGCCGAAACACGTATCCAGACAGCGCATTACAGTGTCTAATATACACAATGTCCAAGGTAAAAATACAGGTGAGTTAGTAATCAATCATAGAATCGAATCATACTTCAACACATCACGCAGTGAATGTCATCCAATTTTACGATTTTATTAATTAGTCCCGTCTAAAAGAGTCTCGTCAGGGGGTATGGGCCTCATCTCTTCCCTCTTCAGATCAGAAAATGTATAACACAAAGAAAAGAAAAAACGTTTGACGTGTTTAGAGACTGGCTCTCAGCGAAAAGAGGGAATAAGCAACCTGCGTAGGGGGCTCTGCCTTGCTCTCCGATCCTCTCTATTTATATTCTCCCACCGTAGGGGACGAGGAAGGGATGTGTGTAGTGAAGACCAGCCTCGCGCAAATGCCGTCCCCCCATCGAGGGGGTTAGTGTCAAGACACACAAAAGAAGCATGAAAGATCCTTATTACATAGGAAGCCTCCATAACCTCCACACAAAAATGAACGGGTGCAGAGGTGGCCAGGGTGTTGGTGGTTTAGACCAGCACGGAAGGCGTAGCAGTTTACTGCGACTTCTCGTGCTGGGTGGAGACACGCTGCAGAGACACGACTGGGAAAAGATGTTAGTCAAGGAACAGAAACGCAAGTGTGAAAGAAAAACGGAGAAAGACGACATACCAAAGTCCTCGAGCGACCGCTGCTTCTGGTTGCCCTTGGGGCTCTTGCCGTGCATCAGGTTGTCGAAACCAACGCTGTCCTGGAGCAGGTAGTAAACACCACCCATGATGCAGAAGACACCGAAAGAGAAGATCCAGATACGGACAACAGCGACAATAGAGGTCTGCTGGCCGTGCTGGAAGAAACCGAACAGGGTGAAGAAGGTGGCCAGCAGGTCGACGACCAGGATGGCGCCGGTCAGCTGCCACGAGGGGATCGACGACCAGAAGGGACCGTTGGCACGAGTGATGAAGATCAGCCAGTTCTCCGTCAGGGAGACCTCAAGGAAGACGACCTCATCCAGGTTACCAAAGTTCTGGACAATACCGCCGTTGGGGCCGTGCGCGTACATGGTCGTGACCGTGATCCAGGTACCGACAGCCAGGACGACACCAAGCAGGACGGACATACCCCAGAGCTTGGGAAGGTTCCACTTGACGGGGGTCTTGGAGAAGGGCGCGTTGTCGTAGGCAATAGCAAGGGTGGCAACATCAGCGAAGATGGCAATGAAGACGACCAGCTCAATGTTCAGCGAACGGTTGAGGATGGCAATCCACAGACCAAGGTAGATCTCCAGGTGGATGGACAGGGCGATACGGTAGACAACGTAGGCGTACATGCGGTGGAAAATCTGGCGGGAGGTCTTGAGAGCATCGATAATGGCACCAAGACCGGGGGCAAGGAAAACAATGTCGGCAGCGGAGCGGGCAGCGTCAGAGGCACCCTCGACAGCAATACCGGTATCCGCCTTCTTCAGCGAGGGCGCATCGTTGACACCGTCACCAGTCATGGCAACGAGGTAGCCACGCTGCTGCAGGATCTCGACGACATTGTACTTGTGCTGGGGGAACACCTCGGCGAAACCATCGGCAGCCTCGACGAAATCGTAAACCTCAGAGCCGGGCATGTCACCGCCGCCGCCCAGACCCAGGCGCTCAGCGTTGTAGACGTTGGTACCAAGACCCAGCTGGCGGGAAGTCTCGCGGGCAATGCCGACGGCATCACCAGTAAGCATCTTGATGGACAGACCCAGGGACTTGGCCTCGTTGATGGTGCGGGCGGTATCGTGACGCGGGGGGTCAGAGCAGGGCATAATGCCGAGGATCTCCCAGGCGCCCTCACCACGCTTGCGGGCAACACCGAGCGAACGGAAACCACGGGTAGCAAACTCAGCGACCTTGTTCTTGTAGGCCTGGTCGACCTCCTCGGGGATGGGGTGGTCCTCCTCGACGGTCTTGAGAACGAACAGAGGAGCACCCTTCACGCAGGTGATGCGCTCGCCCTGGGGGGACTCGACAATGGCGGTAACCTTCTTGCTGACGGGGTCGAAGGGGAAGAAGTTGATGACCTTGTACTTGGACAGAACGCTCTTGGCACGGGGGTAGTAGCGCAGGGACTTGAGGAAAGCCTTGTCAATGGCATCAATACCCTTCTTCTTGCGCGAGGCAGCCAGGCAGGCAGTGAGCATCAGGTCCTCAGGCTCGACACCGGCGACGGTGTAGGGCTCAGACAGGGAGAGCTTGTTCTTGGTCAGGGTACCGGTCTTGTCAGAGCACAGAATCTCGACACCAGCCAGGGACTCGATGGCGGACAGCTTCTGGACGATGGCCTTCTTGCGAGCAAGGTAGGCAGCACCGACAGCCATAGTGGTGGTGACGACAGCGGGCAGACCGACGGGGACACCAATGATGGTGATGGCCAGGGTGTACTCGAGAATCGTGACAATGGGGTTGGAGCGGTAGAACGACGACACCCAGACGATCAGGTTGGTGAAGATGACCAGAACCAGCAGAACGGTACCGATGCCGTTGAGCACCTCCGTGAAGTGACCGGTGCCGGACGAGGCGGCATTGACGAGGGCGGCAGCGCGACCGACAAAGGTGTTGTCACCAGTGGCAGTAACGACGACAAAGGCCTCACCACGCTTGACGGCGGACGAAGCGTAGCACTGGTCGCTCTTGTGCTTGTCGACAGCGAGAGACTCACCAGTGATGGCGGACTGATCAACCTGCAGGAAAGCATCTTCGGTAACGATGCGACCGTCGGCGGGAATGATGGTGCCCTCCTCAACCTGGAGAATATCACCGGGAACGACCTCGGGGGCCTCAATCTCCTTCAGGGTGCCGTCACGGAGGACAACAGCCTTCAGGGCCAGGGTCTTCTTGAGCTCGTCGACAATGGAACCGGCCTGGAACTCCTGAACGAAACCGACAGCAGCGTTGAGCAGCAGCAAGGCAATAATGACACCGAAATCGACCCAGTCCTCAAGACCGGCAGCCAGGACAGCGGCAGCCTAGGAGAAGCAAAAATTGTCAGCATTTCGCCCTTGGACGTTGATGAGATACCGGTGATGCCGGTGATGCCGGTGATGCCGGTGAGATGCCATGTGGATGGGGATGTGCGTTTGGATCGACAAAAATGTTTTGCCGCTGGAAACATCCCAAGCCGTCGAAACAAACACACTCCCACTCCTCCCTTGCGTCGGAAAGCAAGTGGATAAGCAAGCTTTCAGACACGGGACAGGGCAATCAGCGACATGGGGGAGCTCCAAGCAAAGGCGGGGGCAAAACAGGAATTGGCGGACTCCCACTGGCTGCAACGCCATGCAGGCGCATGCAGCTGCCCCAATCGGAGTAGCTAAAACCCGTTTTTTGTAGTGCGCGATTTTTGGAGATAGCCCAAAAAATGCGACCGCGCAGAAAATCGGCAACCAAAACAAACCAGAAGGCGAATAACAAAACATGCAAAAATGAAAAGGGACATTTGAAGGCACAAACGTAGCGTGTCGACACGGAAAAAAAGAATAAGAACAAAAAACGTACCTCCATGACGAACTGGATAGGACCAACAAAGTAGCCCAAGAACTTGAGAATCAGGTTCTCCTTCTCCTCCTTCATCTGGTTCAGACCGTACCTGAAAGGGGGCTTGTCAGTAACTCGGGTCTTGCAAAGACGTAGTGCGAAACCGAGATGTTGGTTCTGCGCAATCCCAGCGGCTGAAACTTACTTGCGACGGCGAGCAACAACCTCGTGGTCCGTCAGACCAATGCGGGTGTCGGTCTGGAGCATGTCCTCGGGGATGACGCGGCCACCGTGGACGTTGGACTCCTCCTCTTCGTCATCTTCGTCGGCGCCGTGGCCGTCGTGGGACTCGAGGTCCTCAATCAGGGCATCGATGTCCTCATCTTCCTCCTCCTCCTCGACCTTGGGCTTGACCGGGGGAGCGGCAGCGGCAGGGGCGGCGTCGCCGGCACCGGCCTTCTCGTCAAAGTTACCGCCGGGGATGTCGGTGTGCAGCGCGGGCGCCGCAGATGTTGACTCCGCCATTGTTGATGGTGGGTTGTGGGAGAGAAAAAAGGGTGTGGTGTTGAGCTGTCTATACGATGATAGAGATATTGTGAGAAAACTGGAGGCTTCGAAAATACGACGCGTCCGTCTTGCAGCTCAAGGACAAGCCACGGCTTAAAAAAAGGGGAAGGGGAAGGGGGGAGGGAATCCCAGAAGCGGGATGAAGCTTTTTTGCGCGAGAGATGGGAGAACGCAAACAGGGATGGGGGGATGTGTGGGAAGAAGAAAAGAAAAGGGAAGAAAGAAGAAGAGAAGAGAGGTGAAGGGAAAGAGACGAAGAAATGAAAGTCTGGGTAAAGGATATATAATAAGGCTAGAGAAAAAGAGAAAAAGAGAAAACGAGTGGAAACGACCGCGGCGCGCGTTATTTCTGTGCTCGCGCTCCGAGTCGTAGTGCTACTGTGTGGGGGGTGAGAGGAAAACCTAGCACTGCTAGCTCATCGACAGAGACGAAGAGACGAGAAGAGAGAAAAGGCGAAGGCGAAATGTCGGGATGGCGAAAGGTGAGCAGGCTGGCAGGGTAGGGAAGTAGGAACATGGGCCACGGGCCTTGGGGGGGACATGGATACAGGGAAGGGACGATGGACCGATGGACGGGGGTGTGTGAGGCACACAGTGCTGGAAACAGTGCGTGGTAATGGGCGTGAGTGTTTTTTGGGGGGGTGACAGCGCTGGCCCTTTTTCGGTCGCTATTCTTTTCGGGGCCATTCTATTTTTTTGGGGCTTTTTTTTTTTTTTTTTTGCGGCTGGCTCACTAGGGCCGGAAGAACGCGGGGGTAAAAGGCGTGCAGTGTAAGATACAGCAAGTGGAGCCCACTGGCGCTGGGACAAGAGGACCACTGCAAAGAGAGAAAAGAGCCAAAAATGGAGGTCTGTTTTGATGAGCTAATAAGCACCAGTGGGTACAGGCGAAATTGGGACGTTCCGATATGTGGGAAACAGCGCTGGAAGCGCCGGAGGATGGAGGAATGCGTGCTTTGTTGACGCTGTATTTGGGCGCCATGGGTGCTTTGCAACCAGCGATTATGTGGTTTGGGCCGTGTTTTGATCACTTGATGGTTTTGTCCTGTTGGTGGATGACTGTATGATATGGTTCCTGGTTGTGCGAGTACCTGCCCGTTCGAAAAGTGAGTCTCGACAGGCGCTGAGGCCACACGGAGGAGATGCTGGGGAACCGAGCGCAAGCGATCGTGCGAACTGGCTCACTTGCAGCCAAAGTGGTGGACGGACAGTAGTGGTGCTGGAGCTGGTGCTGTTCAACCGGCCCTCTCCGCTTGCTTCTCTGCCGTCGGTCGCCCTGCGTCCAGGAGCAACCTCCGAAAAAAACGCTGCATATCCACCTACCAGTAAAAGCTTATTATCGTATGAAACCGCGCGTATCGAACCGGGGAAACCGGGAGTCGGAAGGTATTAAAGAGGAAACCGAAGGAAACGCGAAAGCAGATATTAAGGGGGGATAACAGAACAAAAGAAAGTTGCGGGGGAGACTGTAGGGGGGGAAGAGGGAAATGTCGCACCTCACGAACACCGAATTAGTCGAAGTCGAGTCGATATCGTTCGCCGTTGTTGAAAGAAAGAGCAAAGAAGAACGAGAGGAAGGAGGCTGGTTTTAAAAGGAAGAGGGGACAGCGACGAGAGAAAATGAAAAGAAAAGCAACTGGGCGACTCTGGACGACTCTGGACAGCGACTCTCTCTGGCATTGGCATTTGTTTTGACAGTCCTTGTTGAGCCATCTGGCATTCTACAAATCAGTCTACGAGCATACTAACAATAGTCTGCCCTCCCCTGGGGCATAATAATACACACAACAGGCCACAACAAGTAGCCAAATGTGGGAGATCTACGCCCAGCAAATGCGTGCTGTGACTGCGGCAAAAGGCGCGATTGGTTTTGGGCTGGGCCAGGCCATGTGCACCGACCTGGCTCACTCATCACAATAGGACGGGCGATCGTCGCGAATGTCACGGACACGGGAGAGAGCAAGCTATTCGTGGGAAGCGCCTCAGTTCTCAGTGTTGGGCGGGCTCACTCGGCTGCGTCGCAACGCCTCTCATACGATGTATCCTTTTTCTTTGTCCCAGAATACGGGAAGGGCCTAAACGGCACTCTTTTAGCACCAAGGGCGGAACACGGAACACGGCACTGTACTTTCATTGCCGCAGAGGTATGCTCTGTGTTCAACTGTACCGATCCCAACTGTGACAACACGCACGAGAACTAACTCGATTAGGCTTGACATGTGTTGGTTCCCACTGGTTTGTGTGTCAGTGCCGCTTGAGATACGGCGTGCGGAGTATACCTCTCTTTTGCCATCTGTTTTAGACGGAAAAGGCAACACAAATACACACCGCGGTGACTTGGCCAGACTTACGGGGAGGGCTTCTGAGAGCAACGATTTTGTGCATTCGCCGGAACAAGAAGGGTGTACGGCGCTGAAATGTCTGAAAGGAACGGGCATATGGCCCGGTGACGGAGCAGGAACGGGAAGAGATCAGAGGCCAGGAAGAGCGGCGGGCAAGCGCAACTGCAATCGAAATACATTGTGAAAGCGGCGCCTCGTATGAGCATCGCTCGCACACATGCGCCTGTATAATCAAGACCGGTGCAACTTTCAGTACGACCTCCGCCGCCCGGGCAGGAGTGGCCGGCATTGGTGGAGTTGCATGCAAACAAAGCACGTTTGGCTGTCTCCGCGCGCCGCGGCGCAGAATTGTCAGCAGACGCGTCCATTTCATTGGATCTCGTATCTGGTCCGCAAGCCCATACCGCTCAGGCTTCACGCTGTGTGTCGCATACTTTTCTTACAGGACGTTGGCTACATTCAGGGCCTGTAGTTGTTGTCGCACAGGTATCACAACGTGCACACTCACAGTGTTGGTCTTTCCGAGCTTTATTTTGGTTTGTTTTGATTTTTCTTCTTTTGTATCGTGCCGTTTTTTCTCGCGAGTGCGCCAGGATTAACAAGAGTAAAAGGATGGGGCCTCGCGATTACAGTATGTGTGCGGTAGCCTCGAGATTCGCACTGTTGCGCTGTTCCTCCCAAGCTACGTCGTACCCGGCAGCCAAAACTGAGAACCATAACAAAAAAGGATGGCTCGCCGGCACGAGTTAGTTACATTAATCTCAACTAGTCTCCGTGTACCTGCCCCACCCACATTCTCCCCCAGACGACCTCATCTCGCATCAGTCAGGTACTTGGTAGCGCAGGTCCACCCTCGTACCGTTCCCATTTTGTGCTGGTCCTCTCGCTCGTTTCTCTCACAAGTTGCAGTCTCCCAGTTGCGGGATTTATGATTGGATTATTATGCCCTTATTATGTGTCGTGTTTCGATTTTTTTTAATGGGCCACTGCTGTTATCGGCTTCGGTCACTGTCCCCGTCGCTCCTGCCTCTGGACAGGCCGAGCGCCTGTGCTTCGATGTAGATGGAGAAGGAACGACACTTGCGTGAATTGGCACTGGAAATCAAAGCCAGCAGTCCCCGAACTGTACCGGACGAGAATGTGCAAGAGATGCATGCATGTTGCTCGATGGCGATGCAGGCGTGCAAGATTGTATCGCCGCCAGGGAATCGATAGGCGACGGAGAATACAGGCTGCCGTTGTCGTCTGCGGTACCGCCCCCCGACCGCCTAAGAAGTCCAAGCCTGTCCAAGCCCGATTCACCAGCACTCGCGCGCCTGGGCGGCGCTTTCCTGATCCGGCCAGACATCGCTGTAATTTTACGTCCACGCAATTCCAATTGCGTCAGTGAAAGATCGCAGTGGTTGCCGCCCAATTGCGTAGTGGACAGTACGAGGGCAAGTGCTGCCAGAGTCGTCTCGTCCAGCAATTCCAGTGTCTTTACGGGGCGCAACAATTGACAAGCACAGCATTTCAGACAGCTAATTGGCGGGAACCATTAGACATTATTGGCAGAATCCGGAGAGTAGTCATTGGCTGTAAATCGGAACCTTCGGCGCTGCCGTGCTGCTGCACATTTCTAGTACATGGTTTGGCCGATTTCCGTGGCCATTTTTTCCTCTTTGTCGGCTCACTTTCACGCTCTCCGTCGTGGTACTTGCCCTGTTTCTTGCCAGTGCTACGATGGCCTCGTCTTCGTCTCTGGGCAATGCAGTGGTCGTGAGACTGCCTCGCCCAATTCGTAATCCCCACTCCATCTCTCGTGTCTCGTAGGCGATCGCGCCCGCAGGCGGTATGCGAAGTCGCAAGAGAGAGTGACAGATCGCAGCCATCGTGCATGCTCCATGTGGTCGTATTGCGAGAAAGTGGCCCGCGGACCATTGATAGAAAATTAGCAGGACCAACCTCCGTACGAGGCCCAAGGTCCCCAGGCCCCATGGGAAATCGGCATCGCGAGAAACAGGGAAACACCACCAGCCAAATCCTGCCAATCGAGCCCTGTGATTCGCTGTGTAGCTCTCTTTCCTTCTTTGTCGAACACATCCTGTTTATTTCCACCCTCCTCCACGTAAAGTCGGCCGGACGCGCAGGTGCTTTGCTTTCCAACCTCCCCGCCCCCTTTTCTCCACTTTTTGTCGCTTTGACTCTCTTCTCACACTGCCACTTTTTTGCTCTGATCTCTCCAGTCTTTGCTTTCATCCTCTGTTTAAGGTTCCCAGTCCTCATCGCCCGTATTGTAGCATGCACGGATAACGGACTTTGACTGGCCCACCATGGCTGCTACTCTCTACCAAGACTTCTTGGCCTGGCATCGTGTAGGAGCTAGTTCTTCTGTTCACTTTTATTCCTATTTGGTTGTTTTTGTTTTCATTCTCTCTTTGATGGTTTCGGTCTTGTTTGCGCTCGCCTCGCCCGTGTTCTTAAAAGAGGCGCTGTCTGGACCTTTGCTTTCTTTCTGCGACGTGCCACATCCTCCAAGACCTGCCAAGAACACATCTGTTCGCATCGTATTCCATCGTAAAGTGCGATGCACAATCTGCCAACTCTCAAAGTCTTGGCCAAAACGATCCGGGAGTG